ACAATGTCACCTTTTTTAACAATATATCTCTAAATACATAAAACAAAATTTTCACTTCAAACTCACCAGAATTACATAATAACATTATTATCTTATGAAATATAGCAGATTTGAGCTCAGAAATCATCTAATTTATTTCTATTATTAAAAACAAAATTATCCGTTTGAAAATATCGCCTCGCAGAATAACATGTAGTAAGCAGCTGCAAACTTTCTAACCGGAACTTGAGCAGGCATACAGCTCGAGATTGTTATTGTTTCGGAGTGTCTATTGCACCGATTATCGGCGCAGCAAAATTCATTTTGCTATCTTACCGATCAAATTTTCAACCAATCATAGAGCGTATCTGTCCACGTGACTTTCCGATTTTTTTTCAAAAATAATTTAGCTCTGTTTATCATAGTCAAGGCAGCTACAATTTTTGTAGCATTTTGATTTTCTTCATATGAAGAATAACAAATAGCCATTCATGAATTTGAAAAAGAAAAAAGGACGATCTTCTGGAAGAGAAAAGCGAAATCTTTACAAAGTGCTTCAAAGAAATTTAAAAAATTTGATAAGGCTCAGCTGGAATTGAAATACACATGGTGGAAGAATTCATTAAAAAAAATGTACAGATGACAGTCGCCAATCCAAGTAAGTAAATTTTGTATTGTTTAATTAATTTTTAAAATGTGTTATTCAAAATGAATTATTTAAAATGTGTTAATTGATTAGCAACATCGTTCCTGATGTCACCATGTCAATAGTCACTATAATTACCTTGTAAAGAACATTTTTTAAATAAATTTAACACTCTTGTTTTACATGTTCTCTGACCTGCTATCTCTATTATTTTATATTGTGTCTGCAAGCCCTTATAGAGTTTAGTTTATACATTTTTTATATGTAGTTTGTTTAAAAAAAAATTTATTTTCCAGAACCTTTACTCAAAATTGTCCAGCTACTGTCTCCAGATAAACAATTTTTGGAGATAAAATCAATGAATGAGAATCATGACCATGTCCTCTCCGAATCTTTGTTCCGTTCTTCGCCTAAAAAAAGCCTGATACCTGTTGGGCACCAAGAGAAAGTTCAAAAATATGTGAATCTCCAAGTATCTATATTTCTGTTCCATTTCATATAGGTAAAAATTTTTCCTACATTTACTCTAATTATCTCCATTTTCTATCATAATATTGTTTGTATAGTTAAGAAATTATTTTGTTACTCAGAGTGATATACACTAACTTACGTGTGAATATTATAATATCTATTAAAAATAATTTAGCTCTGTTTATCGTAGTCGGCAGCTACAATTTTTGTAGCATCTTGATTATCTTCATATGAAGAATAACAAATAGCCATTCATGAATTTGAAAAAGAAAAAAGGACGATCTTCTGGAAGAGAGAAGCGAAAACTTTACAAAATGCTTCAAAGAAATTTAAAAAATTTGATAAGGCTCCGCTGGAATTGAAATACACATGGTGGAAGAGTTCATTAAAAAAAATGTACAGATAACAGTCGCCAATCCAAGTAAGTAAATTTTGTATTGTTTAATTAATTTTTAAAATTTGTTATTTAAATGAATTATTTAAAATGTGTTAATTGAAATGTGTTAATTGTAATGTCACCATGTCAATAGTCACTATACACCTTGTAAAGAACAATTTAACACTCTTGTTTTATATGTTCTCTGACCTGCAAGCCCTTATAGAGTTTAGTTTATACATTTTTTATACGTAGTTTGTTTAAAAAATTTTTTATTTTCCAGAACCTTTACTCAAAATTGTCCAGCTGCTGTCTCCAGATAAACAATTTTTGCAGATGAAATCAATGAATGAGGATCATGACCATGTCCTCTCCGAATCTTTGTTCCGTTCTTCGCCTAAAGAAAGCCTGATACCTGTTGAGAACCAAGAGAAAGTTCAAAAATATGTGAANAAAAAAAATTTTATTTTCCAGAACCTTTACTCAAAATTGTCCAGCTGCTGTCTCCAGATAAACAATTTTTGCAGATAAAATCAATGAATGAGGATCATGACCATGTCCTCTCCGAATCTTTGTTCCGTTCTTCGCCTAAAGAAAGCCTGATACCTGTTGAGCACCAAGAGAAAGTTCAAAAATATGTGAATCTCCAAGTATCTATATTTCTGTTCCATTTCATAAAAAAATTTTCCTACATTTACTCTAATTATCTCCATTTTCTATCATAAAATTGTTTGTATAGTTAAGAAATTATTTTGTTACTCAGAGTGATTTACACTGACTTACGTGTGAATATTATAATATCTATTTGAACTTATTGTTGTTGCTCAAATTGTTGTTAATGGAGATTTCTGTATCGTGATCTGCGGCAGAGTAATCGCAAAGTCCAGGAAACTTCCGGGCAGTGACCCGCGAGAAACTAAAAGAAATGTCATAGAAAGGGACTGACTCGTAAGGTATAACTTGTAGTTACCCCTAGGCAATTATCTACATATATCAGGGGTCTGTCCAGGCCGAATTTACTACCGTTTAGCGGTACCTTCACAAATTCAACTTTAGGGAAAACGGTAGTTTCACAAATTCAATTTTAGGAAAAACGATCGTTTCACAAAATACTTTCTCTTAANTTAGTTATTTCTTATTCTTGTTATTATTAGTTATTTCGTTATTATTAGCTGTTTCGTTATTATGTATTAGTTTTTCCTCAAATTGTTAACGGTAATAAATTTTAAAATCTTTTTATTTTAAATCTTTCTTTTAATAAATTTTTATTGTATTTTTCTTATTGCATTGTTTTACGGATTCCTGTAATCAGTTCAGCCTTAATTCAGCTACTGAACTTATAAATATTTTTTTGCTGTTCTTCTGTTTTTTGGCGTGGTGCCAACTAGTAAGAACAACTTTATTTGATATAGTTTTGTTGTTTTCTTTTCTTTTTTTTTGCTGAAAGAGAAAACTTTTTTTGTTGCTTTTTTTTTGCTGAAAAAGAAATTTTTTATTATAATTTAGAAATTAAAACTTTATTTTGTGAAATGCATAAAAAAATGTAATTTTTTATTATACAGATATTCTAAATGGTAATTTAAAGGTCTCTTCTGAAAGGATGCTGATATACGCGGTTCAGCGCCTTTGCGGCGCTTACTATAACTTTTTTTTAAAAAAATTCATTTTTATCTAGGTGCGGCGCTTCTGACGAAGCGGCGCTTTCGCCGAAAAATACGGTATTTTAATGTAAAGCTAACTTTTTTTCGCCGTGAAATCCTTGCAGAACATTTGTATATATTAATAAGTCCTGTTGCAGAACATTTGAAAATATTCTGCTTCTGGGCCCCTAGGGAATTATCTACATATATTTTTTAAAAAATTTGCAAGTTTAAAATCTGTTTGGCACCTTGACAATTGTAGTTGCTTCGCCAGATCACAATACGAAATATCCCCTGTTTTTTTACCCTGCCATAATGTCAAATGTATTTTAGTTATATATAAGAGCATAGTAAATTTTCATATGCAGTCCTTGCTTTAAATTTTATGTATCCATGAAATATGGTTAGAAGCAAAGACACATGGAAAATTCAAATTCTGAATTTGTTTTTGGCCAAGTAAAATAAGTTTTGAGGCAAATTTAATGTTTGTGTTCTAAAAATAAATTCAATGAAATACTTGTAAGTAAAGCAAGTACATTGACTTAAGTTATGCAAACTGTTATAGGCAATTGTAGTTGCTTCGCCAGATCACATTACGAAATATCCCCTGTTTTTTTACCTTGACATAATGTCAAATGTATTTTAGTTATATATAAGAGCATAGTAAATTTTCATATGCAGTCCTTGCTTTAAATTTTATGTATCCATAAAATATGGTTAGAAGCAGAGACACGTAGAAAATTCAAATTCTGAATTTGTTTTTGGCCAAGTAAAATAAGTTTTGAGGCAAATTTAATGTTTGTGTTCTAAAAATAAATTCAATGAAATAGTACTTGTAAGTAAAGCAAATACATTGACTTTAGTTATGCAAACTGTTATAACAATATAATTTTTTTAATAATTTAATGCATGACCCTTATAATAGTATTATATTAGTGCATATAACAAATTTATATGCATATAACAAAATTAAAAGGAGTTTAAATACCGCATCGTCACCAACTCACTAATACATATACAGTGATACCTCGAGATACGAGTTTAATTCATTCCGTAACCTTGCTCGTATCTCAAAGCAATTTTGCCCATTGAAATGCCATTAATCCTTTCCGTCCCCAAAAATGCTACCCTCAATTGTTTTTGTTGTGTGTTTTTGAATAAGAAAAATGTATTTATAAATGACAAATACTATATAAAAACATAATAAAAGAGAATGTAAAGCAGAAAAAACTCCTTTTATAAAGTGTACATGCATATTTGTATTTTGGTTACTTAAATGCAACTTACACACAACTTTAATGCTACTATATGCTTAATTTTAGTCACTGTTTTTCTCTTCACTAGTCTTTGCTTTTTTAGCCAGATTTAAAAAGAACTGTCCAAGGAGGTTTGTTTCTTCCTTTTCAGAATGCTGCAGAAATGACTTAGGCAAGTCTCATTAAATAGCTCCGATGTACGACCAGTTTCAACTTTTTCAGGGTGTTTCTTTTTCACGAACTGTGAAATTCTCTTCCACAATCCCAAGAATTCTTTTATCTGATTTGTAGAGATAACCTCCTCCACCTCTGGTTCTTCCTCGAAACCAATTTCTTGCAGTACGCCCGAATGCTCACCCATCACCAGGTCCATGGATTTTCTCAGAGGCACAATCTCCTCCGCTGGCACTTCGAGTTCGAATCCTTCAAAGCTACTGACTTAGCCGACAGTACAATTTTCGGCTATAGACTTCAAGGTTCGGTGGGTGAACGGGAGCATTGTTGAGGACGAGAAGGGCTTGCAAGGCCATTCCTCGTATCTCAAATAACTCGTATGTAAGGGCATTCGTATCTCAAGGTACCACTGTATTTGGATCTTTTTTAAAGACACAATTTTTAACTCTAACATTATAAAATGTAAATGCAACAATAATGTGAAAGAAACAAGTATATTAATCTTGCATTAAAACAATTTCAATTTGGTCAGATTTATCATTTTCCCTTCCTTAGCTTTTCTAACTGCACAATTTAGCAAATGAGATTACAATACACAATTTAGCAATTCTTTCTAAAATTAAAAAAAATTTCCTTTTTTTTTGTTTTGTTTTGCATATTTGAAAAAAAAATCACTCATTAAATGGCCCAAAAATTAATTCTATTATTTATGCCGGGTTCCCATCGTCCTTAAAAACTGCTTTATTTTTATTTTCGCAATTTTTATCTTCTGCAATGATTTCTACTATCTGGATTTTTTTTTCTTTCTTGAAATATTTTATATTTTTAGGTTTAACGACAACAGTTGTTGGTTTGAAGAGGAAGAAAGGTAATAGGCCCACTCCTTTTCCAAGAAAAGCAGTTTTGGAGGGAAAAAAATATGCTTATGAACTGCTTTGTAGATAAAGAGGCATTTTCGAAGACCATAAATAAAGGCATTTTGAAGAAGAAGCTGCTATAGAATGTGGTATAGAGAAGGTTTCTTCTTGTATGGAATCATGTGTTGAAATTAATGAAGTGAAGCTGTTCTTTACTTCTGATGGGTGGCTATTGGTTAAAAATGTGATTTTACAAAATCGAGAATGATGACATGAGAATGTTATTCATGCAAACAAGATTGCGGTATGGTGATACTATTTTGTGCGACTCTTATTCGCAGTGATATCACTATTCCTGTGTCGGCCCTCTGCAGCCTCCAGAACAAAAGTAGGTATTGTTAAAAATCTAAACTTTTTAGACCTTTAGACTTTTTTTTAGCTTATTTTGATTTTCTTCCTGTGAGATATATTTTGAATAGATATTTGTCATGTGTAAGCCAACTTTTTATTTTTTTTTAATTCTTTACTTTCAATAAATTTGCGTTCAGTATGTTCCTTTTAACTGTAATTTATGTAGTATATGTTTCTTTAAACTTTGTGATTGCTTGCTTCTAATCCTAATTGTGTAAATTTATATTTAGTTTTTTAAATCTGCTACATTTTTGTCCAATAAAAGTTTAGTTTCTTCCTGCTTTTGTGTTTAATGAAATTTTGATAATATAAAATTCTTTCTAAAATTAAAAAAAAATTTCATTTTTTTTTGTTTTGTTTTGCATATTTAAAAAAAAAATCACTCATTAAATGGCCCAAAAATTAATTCTATTATTTATGCCGGGTTCCCATCGTCCTTAAAAACTGCTTTATTTTTATTTTAGCAATTTTTATCTTCTGTAATGATTTCTTTTATCTGGCTTTTTTTTTTCTTAAAATATTTTATATTTTTAGGTTTAACGACAAAAGTTGTTGGTTTGAAGAGGAAGAAAGGTAATAGGCCCACTCCTTTTACAAGAAAAGCAGTTTTGGAGGGGAAAAAATGCTTATGAACTGCTTTGTAGATGAAGAGACATTATCGAAGACCATAAATAAAGGCATTTTGAAGAAGAAGCTGCTATAGAATGTGATATAGAGAAGGTTTCTTCTTGTATGGAATCATGTGTTGAAATTAATGAAGTGAAGCTGTTCTTTACTTCTGATGGGTGACTATTGGTTGAAAATGTGATTTTACAAAATCGAGAATGATGACATGGGAATGTTATTCATGCAAACAAGATTGCGGTATGGTAATACTATTTTGTGCGACTCTTATTCGCAGTGGTATCACTATTCCTGTGTCGGCCCTCTGCAGCCTCCAGAACAAAAGTATTGTTAAAAATCTAGGCTTTTTAGACCTTTAGACTTTTTTTTAGCTTATTTTGATTTTCTTCCTGTGAGATATATTTTGAATAGATATTTGTCATGTGTAAGCCAATTTTGAATAAATATTTGTCATGTGTAAGNAAAATCTAAGCTTTTTAGACTTTTTTTTATCTTATTTTGATTTTCTTCCTGTGAGATATATTTTGAATAGATATTTGTCATGTGTAAGCCAATTTTGAATAAATATTTGTCATGTGTAAGCCAACTTTATATTTTTTTTTAATTCTGAAACAAGCTTTATTTCTTAATTAGTAATTTTTATTGCTTTTTTTTTTAAATATTTGTTTAACCATTGTCAAATTTCAAGTGAATGTCCACATAAAAACTCACCATTTACCTTTCCTTATTAATTTCTGATGGACTTCAATGACATAAATTTTCCCGCCAAGATGTTAAATAATTAAGTTTCTAGGTTGAAGATGTTTAGTTTTTTGCGCATCAGATACAGATCTATAGCAATTCAGTTGAAATTTGAGACTTCTACCCGTAAGGCAGAAAAAATTCTAAGTTTATTTACAATAATTCTCTTAAGTGGTAAAGTGACAAATTTTGCTTTCAGTGGTCCAAAAGTAATCGTAACTTGTTTTGTCAATAGGCGGGGCTGATTACGCTCTGGAAAAATCCCGAATTTTTCGCTAACAGTGATCCTAAGATCGAAGGTTCAGACGTTTCAACAAATCATTGATCACAGAAGTTTCTGGAAATCAAATTTTCAAAGGCGAAACTTAAAAACACAGTTTATTTTATTTGTTTGTAAGGGAGAGCCAGATACTTTATAAGCTTATGTTCCTGATAAATATTTATTTTTTATTAGTAAATGGTTATTATAATCATAAACTCAAGAAAAACATACAGTAAAACCTTTTTTTGTGCGTTGGATAGGGACCGCATAAAAGAAATCATACAAAAAAAATTATAAGTTATTACGTATAACAAACAACTTTGTACGATATAGTACCTAAAAAAAAAATTTTATGCGGTGCTTAGGGACCGCATAAAAAAAGTTGGACTTAAAAAAAATACATCAATGATTTATGAGAGAATGCTTTCAATTAAATTAGACCTAAAGAAATTTTAAAAATAATTAATTCTTCATTGTCCATGTACATGGAGAAGTTTTCATATTATGCGTTAAATAGTTTGCTGCTACTCAGGGCCGTCTTAGTGGCAAGCAGAGCCCCCGGGCACAGAGATGTTTTGGCTGTAGCTTGTCATACTGTTAAAAATCGAACAAAAAAACTTCACATACATAAAACAAAGCATTTTTAAGATATGCAATAATTTTAACTTACTTAAACATATTTTTATTACCCCTAAACACTCAATGAAAAGCATTAAAAAAAAAGCATTTTTAAACGTGTGGTCCTAAATAAATAATTTAAGATCCCCATATGCATCATTTTTTTTAAAAAATTGAGATTTGAGATACTAACCATCAGTTGCAATCCTCAAATAATAGAATAATTTTGATAAACCAAGAAGCTAATAAAAAATAATTTAATTAGAAAAACTTAAGGGTACAGCAAATAAAAAAATAATTCTAAAAGTACGAATTATTTCGCCCAACTATTAAAAAATTGGTTATTTAAACATCTTTCACTGCACATCAGACACAATCAGTTTAAAAGTTGCTGTCCCATTGTGCTCTGCAATTCTAAACTNTGAAAAGTTATCAAGTTTTTTTGCATCAGTTTTTAAATAATATAATTTTACATGGCAAAATACAAAATTTGAGCGAAATCAGTCGAATAGTCTCTTAGAAATTGAATTTCAAAAGGGCTAGATATTTAAACTTCGATCTCTCAGGAACTATTCGATCGATTTCGCTCAAATTTTGTCTTGTAAAATTATAATTTTTAAAATGGGTGCAAACAATTGTATACCTACTTTTAAAGAGTTTTTCAACCATTATTGAATAAAATAATGAAAGTTCACTAAAAATTAATTTTTTGCATAGAATTATCTAATTTGCTTTAAAAGTTCTCGAGATGTAGCGAAATACACAAAATAGTAAAATTTTCATTAACTTCTCCTGGCTATAAACTGCTTCCGCTTCCACCTATATTTAGGGGGTTCGTAAATCTGTCTGTAGCCTTCCAAAAATGGTATATGTTTATTCAGAGAAAGTACTTTTTTTTTGTCTGACTTCTTCGTAACTAAAAATATCGTCGGCTCTTATTAATTAGCATATTTGTGGCCACCCATCTCTTGAACCATTAAAATTTTGAGCCCAAAGCGTGAAGGTCTCTGATCATTAGATCAAAAGTTATTTAGAGTGCCCTTAAGGATAAATCGAGGTATTTTTCAAAGGTAAAAATGAAATTAATATTTAAATATGTCATTAGGTTGAAAAGGGTTCAAATGAATATCTCAAAATTTACCTCAAATATACCTCCAGAGGTATATGTAACAACCTGAGGTATTTCATCTTACATTTGAGGAGAAGTAGATATTTACTACTTTAAGGTGTTTCTTTTTCAACCTTAGGTTATTACTTATCAACCTGAAATACAATTCTTTACACCTATGGAACTATTTGTTCAACAACCTTAGGTGCTTCATTTTAACACAAGTTATTCTGGATCTGCCTAAAGTGTATTTTTTGACAATTGTAAAGGTAATATTTCATTAACGTGAAGTGTTCGCTGCTCTACTCATTACAGATGTATAACAAGAAAACTAACTAGAGCCTAAAATAGCTATTTTTAACGCAAGTAAGTAAGAATGTTGGGCCCAAGCATTATAAATGTGAATGCACACTTTAAATATTGCCGATGATTTCCCCATCATTTTAAATTTAAAAACATTAATCTGAAGACAAAATGTTGAGTGTAGATATAGATTCCAAAAACACGGTTTCAAAGTATCGGTCTTTGGAGCTCCCACTCTGCATTTTTGCATTATAAAACCAAAGTGAGAGGTTTCCTTGGACGATGGGTCAGATTTTGTCATTGGAATCCGTCATTCACTAAGAATTTTGGAATTAAATGACTAAGCAAAATTAATTACTTTTGATTGTTAACAAAAGACAAAAAAGATAAGACAAAAATTAAATTTTTTTGCCATTAAATCCTCGTTATTGGATACATAATTTATTGAAAAAAGTTATTTAATCTTCATTTAATTTATAAGTCAACCACCGAAAATAAATTACATAAAATATATTTGATCAATATGAAGTTAATAACATTAATAATTTATAAGGCAAAATGTTTTCTCTCGCAGTCCCAACAATTCTCTACAAAAATAAATAACTATTAATATTAATATATTATGTTCAAATGCTAGATGTATTATAAAAAGCTGTATCGCAAAACATATTTTCATATATTTTAATGGTATACCATTAATTCCTCTGTCACTTTATGTAGTGTATTATTATTATTATAAAAACAGTTGAATTTAAATTATAATTATGAAATATTATTATTAAAAAATATTTTTCAACCAGACAATTAAGTTTAATATAATTTATTTAAATAACCGTAATAGCTATCGCCCCTAAAACTGTCTCAAAAAATTTATAAATTAAAAGAAAAATAATAATTTCGAAAATTTTGGTACCCTTTGAAATAAATGATAAATAAAAAATAGATATATTTCACCAGAAAAAAAAGTAGGAAAAGACACCTTTATTTGTATATAAAAACTTTATTTAAATTATTAATTAAAATATAAATGAGTCGAAAGAAACAATTAATATATTTAAATAAATCCAATATAATGTTAATAAATAATTTAGTTTTTAAAAATTCTATGAAAAATTTTATACGCTTTAAGGAAAAAAGAAATAATGTTCTTTTATTTTTAAATTTTTTGTTGTTGATCAAACAATGACAACCCATTACCAATTTCACATACACAGGTAGAAAAGCATAACTTATAGCTATTGTACCGATGAATTAGTTTCTGTAAAGTGGCGCTGTTGTCAACGTCGGCGCGATAGCTCTGAGGCTATCTTACCGATAGTCGGTGTAATAGACACTGCCATAATAAAAACCCCTATCCCAAAGTTTCTTGTGTCTTGAAAGAAGATGAAGGCTTACTTGGAAAACAGCAAGGCTTAAAGTATAAATAATAGCATTCGTATCATACTTTGAATGTAAAAAAGGTGTCATTTATCTCTCTCTCAACATTGGTGTATGCTAAATTCCGACCTGTTTCATTTTAATCTCCTAAAGAACATTGATTGTGATCAGCTGATAAGTTTAATGAGTCACTCATAAAACATTGATTAAGAAACTTCAACAGTTATTTACTGCGACACTGAATTTAGCTGAGAGCATTGGAATTTAACAAACATTAAAAATGTGTCTTGACGTTGAAAAACGTGAGTATTGTGTACTTTTTTGTGAATAAATTTAGAAATCTACTTCCATTCTATGTTTACTACCTGTGTCTCGGGAAGATTTTCATATCAGTACCTGTGTTAAGACTTCCGAATAGTGGCACGAGAAAAAATAAAACGGAAACATCACATAAGAGAACCAACTCAATGGGGAGATTTCCGTATCGTGATCTGTGGCAGAATCGTCAAGTTTGGGCAGCGGCCAGCGAGAAACTGAAAAAAAAAAAAAAAATCACAGAAAGGGACCAATTTGAAATGTGCAACTCGTAGCTACCACCGGCAAACATCTTCGTTTTTTTTTTTTTTTTAAATTTGCACCTTGGCGATTGTAGTTGGTGTGACAGAACACAGTATTATAACTTGCAACCACTTCTGGACAAATGACAATACATTTTTTTTCAATATTTGCTAGTTTAAGATTCCTCTAAGCTAGTTAAGACACCTTGGCGAGTACAGTTGGCATGAATGTGTACAAATAAAAGTATGCCCAGTGACTTAAATTATAGGAATCTGTCCTAAAGTGCATTTGAAATTCTTATTAATGCTGTCAACCTACCCTAGTCTGCTTTTAATTTCACTTAATTTAAAATTAGGAAAATTTTCTATTAGAAAAATTTAGTGCTTGCAGCTAAAATTCAATTGAAGAAGTATATTTCTATACCTGGCCGTGTTCGCACACAACTCTTATTGCAGTTACGATTACTTGGATACGACAATTTCTCATTAATCTTCTATGAAATTTTCATTTACATTTTCTGTCAAATTTTCTAATTAATTGTTTTTTACTCTGAAAGCTTTATTTTTATTATCCATTATTTTTCTATAATCATAAACATGCTATTATAATTTCTTTGCTGAAAAGTTCAATTATTTGAAACATGCATAAGTAATAAATATGTATTAGCACCAGTAGATAGCTGACGGAATTGTCATTACTGTAAACTCTATGCATGTACAAATATTTTACATTAAAATAGCTATTGAACAGACTAGTGCTTAATACATCATTGATAACACTGTATGTAGATATTGATAACTCTGAAATAATTTTAATAGTTGATTTTAAAAGTTATCTGTCAAGTAGACAAAGGAAGTAAGGGATCATGTTAATTCAGTTAGCCAGAAAAAAAATATATGCACATACCATAGTTTTCCAAAGTTAGCCCATTTGAAAAACGTATGATTTTTTATAACTTACTGGACTAGATTGATAAATTTTACTTAAAGTAAGATAATTTTATTATTGTCATTTAAACAGAAGTCTCCAATTAATTCAACTTGAAAATTTATCCTTAATTATTATGTAATTTAGATAGATTAACTTGATAAAGTGAAAGGCATTACAGTTGTTTTGTATGTGCAATTAGGATGGAAAAGTAAAGTATCTGTTCTTATGAAGAACATGTTGCTGATCAGAGAAATGTTAGGGTCTTGAGAATTTTTTGCACTTCTAGTTTATGACACTAGGAACTACCAGGTCGAGAAGCGACAAAATGTTTCTATGCTTATATTGGTTATGTACAAAGATATATCGATTCTAAATGAGAGTCCAGAATGATATCAGCTATTAATTTCCTTTTTATTGCAAATTAAGACTAATATTTTATTGCAAAATTTGAAATATAGGGGGATAGGGTTATATTTCTTATATTAGTAATTATTAAAATAAATTATGTTCAACAGTTATAAAAGCTCAATAATTTTGTACTAGTAAAAATGAAGTTACAATTGATACTTAAGGTATTTGCGAAAACTCTGCTATTCATGTAATTAAGGCAATAATTTTTTTATACTACAGTCATCTCTATTGATCACGTTTCTTGGGACAATTTATTACGAACGATAGAAAATGACGAATATGGGTAAATATGAAATATCAAATAATAATATGAAAATGTATATAAAGTGGTAAATAAGTAGTGAACTTGAGGAATTATACATTTGCATGAAATGTAAAATGATTTAATTGAAAAAGTTATGCCCTTAATGTAAAAATATTTACAATGCAAAAGAAAGATGAATACACACATTTATTTATTTAAAGTATTTCAATATTTTAATTTGAGCACACTTTTTTTTTCAGCACATACAATAAATTTTTGATAGTAGTAAAAGATTGTTGTCCATTTTCTGTAAGTTCATGGGAATACGAAAAGTTACTCATTGTTTCAAACGCAGTGAGACAAAATGTTGCCACTCGTGGTTCCATTTTGCCATCGCCATTGGTATCACTTTGCACATCTTCTGCGACCATTTCTTGAATTGACAATTCCACAAGTTTCAACATTTTAACAAAGACTCCTGTATTTTACGACTATCTCCTGTTTAAACATATATTCTCAAATTTCTCTGTATTTTTTGAAGAAATATAAAACTTTAGAAAATTGGCAATAAATTATCCGCTGATGTCGAAAATATTTCTCTTTTTCCTCAACAGATGGTGCTATTGCCAGTACTGCAGTATATTGAATGTTTATAATTTGAATACCAGGTTCGAATTCCAGCAATGGCTGGTGGATATGAATCCGCAACCGGCTTGCACTGGCCACATTGCTGACGTGAAATATCCTCAGTGGTAAAGGGATCATGGCTTAGAGTCCCTTTGCCATCAGGCTAACCGTGGGAGGTTCTCATGTTTTCCTCTCCATGTAAAGCAAATGCGGGTTAGTTCCATAAAAAAAAGTCCTCCACAAAGTCTAAATTTCTCCAAATACTTGATCCAGGAGTTCCCTTGTCTTTTGGATTGGGTTCAACATTACGGAGTTGAACATTAGTAGTCGTAAACCCCAAAATCGGGTCGGCTGTTCGGCCATGGTTATAAAATAATATATGAAATATAGTTTCTGTCCAGGCCAAATTTACTACCGTTTAGTGGTACTTTAACAAATTAAACTTTAGGAAAAACGGTAGTTTCGCAAAATAATTTTTCTTAAAATTTTATTTTTTTATCCCATAGGAAACGATAAATCCATATTTTTGTGCTGATTTTTTATATAATTTTTAATTTTCTCAAAATAGGTACCTCTCAAAAAAACCTAGACAGAACCCTGAGTTTGTGTAATTATAAATAATGATTTAAAAAATCTTCTTTAGATTAAGATTTATATACATATTTTTTACTTCAACTAAATGTAAGTGCTTATATTATTTCCAAATTTGAATTTCTCTTTTTGAGTTACATAATTATGCATGACGTATCAAAACTTAACTCGCCGCCTAAAAATGTTGCTTGTAAAATCTCCATTATTTTATTTATTCTATTTTCGCAGGTATGCATTTTTATCATTTAATTTATTAACCAACGTGATGTTTGTGGTTACAGTACCCAAACTGTGACAAATTCTCATTTTCTTCAACATTAGCATCAAGAATTAAACATTTCTCCTCAAAACTAAAAAACTTTTTTCTGAAAATATCGGTAAATTTCTGAACGATAGAAGATAGAATTTTTTAGTTTCAAAAATTATGTAAATGGGTATTCTTAACATTATACGAATTTTGTATATTGTTTTGAATACCATAAACTTATATTTCATGCTAAGAATATGAATTTATAATGGGATAATAAGATGATGCATGCAGGAAAAACATAGGAATAGGTGAATCGAGCCTGGTGCAACTGTAACCAATATTAGGGTGAAATTTGTTATGCATAACCTTACATATCATGAATCATGGCATAAATTATTGTTTCCCAACTGTTAAAATAAAAATGCTAAAAAAAAGGTTTTTTTTAAACAGGAATTCAGGAAACAAAAAGATAAATTTTAAAAAAGTTTTCTTGCCACAAATTTTTTAGTTCCTCACTTAATTTTTATAACTTTTGTTGATATTTCTAGATGCTCTATTTAAAAATTATATACTTTTTCTTTTTAGTACTCTAACAATAAGAGTTTTTTTATTATTATTATTCATTCCTGTCTTTTTTTATTTTCAATGGTTGTGATAATTATTAGTTTTTTGAAAGGTTAAATGTAAAAATATATTGAATTTGTTTTCATTTATTCCAGCTTCTTATAGGTTTTTGGTGTTGTTTTTCAATTGCCTGCTTACTTTTGGCTCTTACTATTGCTTTGATATGCCAAGTGTTTTACAGGATCAAATGCAGGGGGTAAGGAAACAATTTTATGTCATCTATTATTTCATATAATTTAAAAATTGCAGAGCAGTTTTACCTCTTATCTTCACTCATTCATATATATTATCATTTCTATTAACTTGCATATTATTGCTATCCTTCCCTGTGGCAGAATTTTTTTGGGGGGTCTTTCTGCGGCATGCAATATTTATCTGCAAGATACTTTCAAAAATAACAAATATACATGTAACTAATTTAAAGTGACAGAAGCATCAACTTCAAAAAAATAATAATAACTTTTCGGTTAAAATAAAATAACTATTTTCTTTCAATATGTAATATTTTTTTTATTCTAATATTATGGCCGATATTTTCGTATTTTGTCGTGGGGAAACGCACTAATTATTTCACTAATTATTAAATCATCATCACATTAAAAAAAATAGTGAAATCCGTAGCTGTAACTAGCTAAAAAAAGATTGACGGCAAAATCATGCGAAAGAGCTCTTCGAAAATGGGTTACCTACTAAATGTATATTTTCACTTCGAAATTCAGTTGTTGTAATAAACAATGTATTAAAAATACAGGATTTTAAAAACTATGTGGAAAACAATAGTAATAAATTCATCAAAAAAGAACAAAAATTTCTACAAAAAAGAAAGCAAAAATTTTTTACTTCCCAAAGAGAAAATCTTTCTGCAAGAACTGTGTAACGTTCTGCGACAGTGTCGCAGTGTCACCACTATTCTGCCATGGGGCTATCCTTATCAGTAGTAGGAAAAAAAAGAATCATTTGAAGAAGAACCTTGACTTGATTGTTAGCAATAACTTTTGATTTAATGATCAGATTTTCACATGCTAGGATGCAATCATAATGGCTCTAGGGGGTTACCTCATATATGCTAATTAAGAAATAGAGACGATATTTTAATTTGCGAATAATTAGTATTAAAATTATAAACATACCCTTTTTTTATGGATTTGGATTTCTGACCCCCAAAATATAGGGCGTTATCGCAATCTGGGAAATATGATCCCAATAGTTTGGTCAGGAAAGCCCTTCAAAGTTTAGACCCCTTATTGATGTGAATTTTATTTTTGCTTATTTTGCCATATCTTGATTACTTTTTAAGCAAAGTGAAAAAAATTTACGCATAATTATAAAATTCGTTTAACCAAAGATAATTCCATGCAAAAAATAACATTTAGTAAATATTTATTATTTTATTTAAGAATTATCGAAAAAATTTTGAATTGTAAGGTATACAATTTTTTAAATAATGTAATTTTATATGGCAAATTAAAAAAAAAATTGAGCCCAATTGGTGGAATAGTGCCTCAGAAATGAATTTTAAGTATCTGACTTTTTTTTAAAGTTGAAGTTAAATAAAAATCCAAATAACTTCATTTAGTAATAATTATTTAATTTATTACAATAATTGAAAAATCCAAATAACACATTCTGCATTTTAGGAACCAAGTAGAAAAATTAGTATGAAAAAAAAAAATTGTCAGAGGGGAGACATAATTAAATTTCATTTAGTCTTCTTTTATGTATGCTTCTTTTTAAATTATAAACAAATTGTTGTTGTTTTTTTAATTTAAAAAAAAAAGCAAAATTTAAATAAAAAAGAATTATTGCTCAGATGTAAAAAAAATTGGTATTTCTCAAGATGCTCCTAGTGTGAGGGGAATAAAATACAATTCTATATCAATTCATGATAAGTTTTGTATCCTTGTAAATGCTAAGAGTCTGGAAAGATTTAGCCCAACGGAGCTGCAACATCAGAACACGTTTTAATAATAACTATTGTTTAATTCTAACATTGGAAAAGTGATATAGATTGGTATCCAATAGATTCTGAATGTCTGAAAATAACCAAAATGTTGCTTTTCTGCGTATTTCTATAACAAATTTTTCGTAAATAATAAATAAAATTCATTGTGAAGATGTAGAAAAATGGTGAATGGGGTAAATATAAAATATTGAATGAAAACTTGAAAAATTTTCAAAGTCATAAAGAAATAGAGGACTTGAAAATTAATAAATTTAGTATTAAATCAGGGTTGGGGTTTTGGATGCTCTAAACTGGTTTTGGACAGGACACATGGGTTTTACTATCTTAAAGTGCCCAAAACCTTGAACATTGGAAAAAGATAAATATTCTATTTGTGTAACAATGGTACACTTAATAATTCTTCTTCTTCGGCACTACAGCCTATGACAGCCCAAGGCCGTCCAAATAAGTTTTTGCCTTCTTGATCTATTCTGTGCCATGACCTTCCAGACACATAGTAATTACATATATTAATAAATAGTTGATACTTTTTATACAATTTGCTTTAACTCTTTAAAGGAAAATAATATAATATAATAATAATATAATAATATAAATTGATATAATATAATAATATAAATTGATTGAACAATAAATCATTGAACATCAAAAGTGAATACATTATCCTTTAAATATGAATAAATATGCGTCCCGCAGTGGACTGATCTTTAAGACACGGTTCCCAGCAGATCACCAAAGTCAAGCATCACTGACTACGGTCAGTGTGCGGGTGGGTGACTACTTGGATCAGTCTGCGTAGGGACCGAGGGTGTGCGGTATTGGTCTTCGTTAAACTGTGCTCCCGTAAAGTGCTCGACTTCGCGCGCAGGTCGTCGGGCTACAGAAGTGGGGGTGCCATCCCCTCCGCAGAGGATCAAAATTGTGATGGCATGTCTTCGGATAATCCTCAGGGATGTTTCCCAGACCGTTGCCAATGGCCCATTGTGCAGCTCTAGTGTGACATAAATTAACAGCAACAATAAATATGCTTTTATTACTGATAAATTATATTTTTGCATGAGGAAAAATAATGCAATATTGAAAATAATAATAAACTTTTTTAACAAAACAAAAACTTGTCTTCATTTTGTTTCTTGTTTAAAAGTTAACCTTTTATTTTTCACCATATTTTTTTTAAAATTTTAACAAAACTTGAATAAAAGGGTTTTCTTCAAATTATGTATTCACTGCAAAAAAGGCAATTAAAAATGTTCTACTAGCTGAATAAAAAAATTTTCAAATAAACTGTCACTTATGTTTTTAGTTTTTTATTTAATACTCCGTTACACTTTGTCTATTATTGTGAATGACTGGTTAAAAATATGTGAATGTTTATTTCAGGATTTTAACTGTTCTAATAAAATAACCAATGAAACTAATGCTACAACTACTTGCTGTAGTGATTGTCTTGGAATGACATTTAGCCAGTACAACTTATTGTATGCTATATATTCATGGACGTATGTATGAGATTTTTATTTATTCGACTAATTTTTGTTTACTTCTAACAAAGATTTTCAACTTTCTCTGATTGTGGAAAAAAACTTCCTGAAAGAAAAAAGTTTCTTTTAATTCAAGGGGAAAAAAGTCTTATTGAAAATTATCTATCTTAAATCATATCAAGTCATTTAAATATTAAAACAATTGAAACAATCATATCATAATATAATTAGTAAAACAAAAATTTAATGTTGCATAATATATGATATTTAAATATAATATATGATTATTAAAACGTATAAATTTTAAAATAGAAAAATCAAGTATTAAAATTTTTTTTGACTAGTTTAGAATTGCAATTTAATTAAAGTAATTGTTTTATAAAGTACATAATATAGTACAAAACTATTTAATATATCATTTTTAAGTAAGTTTAAACTAAAAAGCAGCAAGAGAAAAAAATTAATTTAATGAAGTTTTACAATAACTATACTGCTTTAGTATTTTAATTGAGTCTAGTAAAACCTACCTCTTAAAATTATTTTTGAATAATCTAACTGACTTTTAAATAAATCTGAAAATGTATATTACAAGTTGTGACCGCATCAACCCTTATGATAATGTTCTTATTATAAAGTTTTACCCTCCTTAAATTTTATGTTTTTTAATTGGTTTTACTTTTGCTATTTAACTTTAAATTTGTTTTAAAAGGTCTTTGACTTAACCTCATTAACTTTTACTTTTTTGAAACTTATAAACTTGTTCTTAATTTGTGTCATTGACTATATTCAACTTTTTCAGATTTTATAATGACTTTATCTGTAACATTTACTTATTGTTATTTTGTTTTATCTACAATCCCTAGCTGTGTTCTATTATTTTATTATTCAATATATATATATTATTAACTAGGAACATGTTGATACTCTATATTTTTAATTGTGCAATATGAATCTTTCTTCACTTAATTTTTTGTCTAAATTGTACAATATAATTGCTTACTATTTTGCCATTCTTTTTAAGTCATACATTGCCTTTTTTACCAAAGATATCCTTCCCCAATTTTGTGTTTACTCTACGTTGTTAACCAAAACCCTCTCTGGGGCTCATCTCCCAGCTTAATGAGATCTCCAACTCTTGTTAATTAGCCCACCTGCATCCAGTTCATTTGGTTGAAATAAGAGTTAGTGTTTGAAAGGTTATTTTCCTCCGTTAATAAACCCTGGCGATTAACCCTCTTGTCTGGTAGTGTAAGATGAAACACCATCTTTAAAATTGAAACTCCTTAACCCCTCCTGTCAAGTAATTTTTGTTATCATTTTATTTAAAATAAACAAATTAACAAACAATAAGAGTAGTCTTTGGCTGCCTTCTGCAGTAATTCAATTCAGAGGTACGAAATCTTATTGAAACTTTCATCAATGAGTTGGAAGTCTTCAACCTTTAAACTGTCTCATTGGGTTACTTTATGTGCTCAATTTACACAGATAGTATTATAAATCAATGAGATGTTTTGATTGTATTTTCGGTATTTTTGATTTTCATATTGTTTTTAAATATCCCGATATATTTCAAACAATATGGAAAATTCGAATTGTGTATTTGAGTATTTACTTTTTAAGTCAATAATTCTATCTAATTTTTGGCAGTTATTGCTATTGATTTCTACATGGATTTTAAATTCAATATTTTCTATATGATATTATTTATTACAACAATTTAATTTTGAAACGAAACATGCGTTTGAGGAGTCCGATTCTCATGATTTCGTTGGCGATCCTTTTTTTCAGTAGTTACTACTACAGATTTCATGATTTTAATTATTTTCTTTATTGTGACGATTATTTACAAAATGCAAAGAAGGAAATAATTTGTGCTTCCCCTCGCAACAAAATGCAAGAATATTAAGACCTTTAATAATCGAATAAAAAATTATTACAATTTCAATTAATAAAAAAATTATACAGTTTTTTTCTGAAAAAACAGCACTTTTGTTTTTTTAAATTAGTCACATATACGTTTGTTTTCATTAAAAATATTTTGCAGAAAGATATTAGTGCTAAAGAGTTTTGTCGAAGGGGATTGTGATGTGTTCATAGGGTGGGTCACATTTACACAACATAGGATATACACATAGAGATAGAGCGACCCACCCGTGCCTCAAGCGGGATTCGAACCTGCAACCATTGGCTTCACAGTCACCTGGACTACTCCGCCAGACACCCTGAACACTCAGCACTAATTAATTACTAATATTAGCCTGTCTGCACTAATTAATTAGCCTGTTTAAGGTCTACCTATTCAAGTATTAAGATTGTTGTTCAAGTGTTCTGTGTGCACTGTACTCGGTAAAGAGTTTATTGTTGTTCAGTGATGTTGCTATTTTTAAATAAATATAATAACTGTTTATTTATTTATTAAAAATACTGCAAATACTACAAAATAGATTTTTGACTGATACAAAAGTGAAATTACCAAAATTGTATTCCACTTTTGCATCATTTTGTACATATTTATATATATTTTATATGTATGATATTAAATATATTTCATAGTTATATTTTTTTTTCAGAAATGCTCTAGTTGTCATCGGTTCAGGATTTTTGATAGACAAATATGGGAATAGAGGTACACAAGTAAAATCTTTTATTATGTTTTATTTATATATTTTTTAACTTTATTCTAAATACAATTGAACCTTGATGCTACAAAACTTTGATTTCAGCATGAACTCCAAACACATTTGAATTTTTTCAGTTTTGAACTCCAACGCATTTGTTACGAAATATTTTTAGCTGAATTCTGTGATGCTCAATTTCACAAAATACTTTTGCCCAGCCAAAATGTTTTTTCCCTAATTTTGGAAGAATTTAAAAAAATTTTATGTAGAATCATTCAAGCTTTCTTTGAATAATTTTTTTTATTTTTTTAAACAATTTTTCCCTTAATTATTCAAAAAATTTCTGAAGACTTTCCTTAAATAGTTTTATAAGTCATATCTTGGAGCTTTAATAAGAGAGAAATTTCCTGAATTGTCCTTCCTTGAAGTAGATTTGTAAAATATGTGTGCATCATTAAATATAAAAATAAAGAAAATCTTTTAGAAAAAATAAAGCTTGTTAAGTTAATAAATCCTAAATAAGTTAATACTTATCCCTGAGGCAGAATTTTTTTCGGGCTTTCTGTGACAAACTTTCCTAGCGCTGATATTTTGATTTAAGATACTGTTAATTATAACAATTACTAATTTAAAGTAACAGAAACGTTGTGCTTACAGATGAAAGTATAGAATGAAATTTTTAAAAATTTATAATTTTAAAATTACTATTTTTTAATTCTAATATTGTAGGTGGAAAAATGCACGAATTATTTCTCTTTCAAATTTTGTAAATTATTACACACATTAAAATTCGTCAGTAAATTTAACGATAGTAAATAAAAATTTTATACATAAATTAAAAATTTTAAAATCCGTGTAGTAACTCTCAAAATAAAGATCACAAATCACGCAAATCAAACTCTTTAAAAAAGATACTCAAATGAGTAGTAAAATATAGTGTTCTTTAAAGAAAAAGAAAATGAAAGAAAGAACATCATTTCTAGATGGAACTATCTTTTAAACTTTCACTATTTCTGAATTTTTTATTTTACATTATTAATTTGAAATTCTAGCTGAGGCCAGTCATTACAGATTTTTTTTAAAACTTCAAAGGAGAATAAAAAAATTATGATTATATCTTTCCTCTTTGATGCTCAAGAAAGACATCTTTGAAAAGTAATTCTACAGAAGAAAAAAAACATTTTTCAAAACTTTTCCTTCAACTCTATTCTGATAAATTCCCTGCTATAATTTATTTCATATTATAAATTTATTTTATTTTATGTAATTTATTTTATTTAATGTAATTTATTTTATTTAAAGTTATTTATTAAAATGTTTTTTTTTTTTCATTTAGGAAAAAAAAACTCTATTCTGATTAATTATATGTAAGCAAGGTCCCCTGTTATAATTTATTTTATCTTATAAATTTATTTTCTTTAATGTAATTTATTTTATTTAAAGTAATTTATTAAAAAAAAGTTTTCATTTGTGAAATAAAAACTCCTATTTGATAAAATATATAATTATATGTAACAAAGGTTCCCTGCTAATTTATTTTATATATTAAATTGCGCAAGTAACAGATGTGTTTAACCTATTTTACTGTTAACCTCTTGCTTTTAGCATCTAATAAGTCATTTGTGAGACTTATTCCAATTACACTGAGATAGGAACAAATATTATAAAAAACTTATTTTTAAAGTCATTCTCTTTCTGAGTCATTCTCTTGAGTTTTTAAAAAAGTTTGTCTTGAAATGTTTTTTTCATTTTTTTTCCAGTTGGAGCACTGCTGTTTTCTTCTCTCTGTGTTATTGGTTCCTGTGTTTTTGCTACAGGAGCCATGTACAGGGGAACTGATTACATGTTACCTTTAATGCTTCTGGGTAGACTGGTATTTGGTGCTGGAAATGGATCCCTTACTAGTAAGCATTTATCATTTAATTTCTTCTATTAACAGATGTTGATGATCTAAATATTGTTAATAAAATTGAGTGGAAACCAGAATATGATTTTTGAATATATTTGATCTTATGAAGCCATGCATGGTTTTAATTTTATTTGTCTTGAAAGACACTTCCTAGCTTGTCTTTAATTCCCAATTTTTACTGATTTAAGTTGAATAATTTTAGAAATAAGAGATATGTGGTATCTTTATATATCATTGACTAATTAAAAGAAAAAACAGCAAATTGTTTATTAAAATTGTATTGAAAGTACTAGTAAGTTCCTGCCATTTTCTATCAAAAATCGGCAGTTTATTGTGAAAAAAACTTGCATTATTTTTTATTTCTTGGAGCATTCGGATATCACGTCATCTTTCGAGGATATCTGTAAATCGACCCATTGGTTTATTCAAATGATGTAAATTTCTGCTCAGATGGACCACGTGCCATTGACCGAAATAGGGGATAATCTGAAGGGGCAAAACCTGGCAAATACTGCAGGTGGGGTAGGACTTCCCATTGAAGTGTTTCCAAAATAGCAAAATCAATGTTCAATGTCTCTTGGCTTCAGTTCGTAAGGAACCCAACTTCCTTGATTTTGGATCATTCCCAAAGATTTTAAACGATGTGAAATTGCTTGCTGAGTCACTTGTAATGTAAAAGCAAGTTCTTTTTGTCACTTGTAATGTAAAAGCAAGTTCTTTTTGTGTTTTGGACGAATCTTCTTCCAATAAATCTTCCTACTCCTTGTGTTCTTATAATTTCGGCCTTCCACTGGTTCTTTGTCTTCCACATCAAACTCACCGTTTTTGAACTTCTGAACCCACTCAAGACAACTTCTCTCACTTAAAGCAGCCTCACCATACGCTTCTCCAAGCATTCAATGCACCTCAGCTGCAGATTTCTTCAAATTAAAGAAGTAAGTCAAAAATTCCCACAAATGAAGCTTATTTGGCACAAAACTTGATATTTTTGTAAATAAGGCTAATACGGAATCCCTAATACTTTAAGGTTATTATGTTACCAGATGAACAAACTTACAATAAGATGTTTAACAGCAGTCAATTTCTGCATAACCCTTCTGGTAGTGCTGTGTGACAAACAGTGAGAACTTATTTGTACAGTCAATATATTTAATAATGGCCACTTTTTCTAAAATTCCAAATTATTAAATATTNATATATATATATATATTTAGTTACTATTTATGTAAAGCATTTTCAAAAGTATAGTACGTGGTTCATTTCTAAAATAGAAGCTCCACAAGTAGATTTCTGTAAAATTTTATTATTATATTTAATGTTTTCAAATAATAAAGCTTTGAATTTGAGTTTTTTAACCTATAATACAGCATAAAGTTTATGTTTATTGACAAACATGAAATCTACCATAAGACATAAAATAAATCTGAAATAATTGAGTACTTGCACTTTAAGAAGAAGAAGAAAACCTCCCATACCCACACATGTGACCTATGACGTCAGCGACAGCTAATCTTTCAAAATGGCGTATTAAAGTTGAGCGCAATTTTTCTCTCCATGAATTAGTTGTTAATTAATGATACGTTAATTAAATACAGATACATTTTTGTTTTGTGTACCTGGCAACTTCGATGCATAATTAATTTGTTTATGTTGGCTTCCTGCCTGTTTTTGTGCTAAGTCTCTGTGTAAATGTATAGTGGTGGAATTGAAATCTTTTAGAAAGAATGTGTCACTTAAGAGAATTGATCCTTGACAGGCTTGGTTTACTCAAAATAGAACAGTCGCTAATGTAAACAAATGCCACGTTTCAACAACCATTCAAGATTGAAATATCCACAGTACATCACTTGCATGTATCCCATTGTAATTATATTATTTGTAATTGAAATAAACTAATCAAGTTATGAAATTTTATTAATTGATAACTTTTTAATTGATTTGCCCATAGGTTGGAGAGAGAGAAAACTTGTAAGAAGTAATCCTAGCAACAATTTTACCCCAGTTAGGCTGAATATAGGTCCTATAAGAACATGAATGGGCAATAATAATCTATATAGGGCTGACATTGGTGGAAAAGTGGCTTTAAAATATTGGGTGATGTGGACAATTCTATAAAGGGTCGATGTTGGCTGAATAATGGGTGTGAAATATTCGGTTAATCTAACATATAGGGCCAATATCAATTCTATATAGGGACAATATCAAAAAAATATAGGCCCTTTTTATCCTTATTGAGTCATTAATGAATATTGGTCCAATGAGAGCCCAGGTTTTTCTGCTAAGGAAACTTTTAACTTGAACTTGACTGACACTTTTGATAAACAAAACCTGTTTCCCTGAAATTTTTAACCAATATGAAATAACCTAAACATTCAGGGAATGATTACAGTTTTCTTGTGCATTAAATATGAGAAATCAAAAGCATGTGCTTTAGAGCATGTGAAGTACACTTTTGTTTTTGTTTTTAAAGTGGTGAATTTGCCAATTGATTAACAAATTTTTAAATGTCAGTTCTTATATTTAGATGGTGACATTAATTTTCCCTACATTGTGATGTTGTAAAAACAATTATTATTATTTTGTTGATTTTCTATTGTGTCCTTTCTTTACTACAGTGTTAATTTTTGCGTTTGGAAATAATTACTTAATAAATATGTATTTTCAGTTGTGCAAAATAGGGTCACTACATTCTGGTTTACGGGTAAAGAGTTGGCCCTTGCCTTTGGTTGTACGCTCACATTTTCTAGGCTTGGCAGTGTTCTCAATTTCTTTTTCACTGGACATTTAAATGATGCAGTGGGAATAAAATACACATTATGGATTGGTGAGTACATTTACAGTTTTAGTGTCACATAGAAGTTTTTTTTTTATACACTTGAAGATCTGCAACTCTACAAACCACATAACTTTACCATCTCTAAAGCAAACCATAATCATACCTGCCGAGTCTCCTGTTTTTTAACAAAGACTCCTGTATTTTATGACTCTCTTCTGTCTACCCGTATATTCTCAAATTTCTCCTTGTTTGTTAAAGAAATTTTTTTTAAAAATTGGTGATTAAATGTCCACTGATGGCAAAAATACTTCTCTCATTCCTCAACAGATGGTGCGATTGCCAGTACTGTAGTATGTTGAGTGTTTACAATTTAAGTAATTATAAATACTGGTTTTAACATATCTTTAAATAAAGATTTATTACACATATTTTTTACTTCAGTCTATGTAAGTGCTTAGATCATTTCCAATTTTGACTTACATGATTATGCATGATGTATCAAAACTTAACTCGCCACCTAAAAATGTCTCTAGTAAAATCGCCATTATTTTATTTATCCTATTTTTGCAGGTATGCATTTTTATCACCTAATTTATTAACAAACATGATGTTTGAGGTGTATTTCCCAAACTGACAAATTTTCATTTTCTTCTTCAACATTAGCATCAAGAATTATATTTTTCCTCTCAAAACTATGAAACATTTCTCTGAAAATATTGGTAAATTTCTGAACGATAGAAGTTAGAATTTTTTAGTTTCAAAAATTATATAAATGGATATTCTTAACATTATACAAATTTTGTATATTTAGAATAATTTTGTATATTGTTTTGTAGCTTAAAAAATGTCGCTAGTAAAATCTCCGTCATTTATTTCTCCAATGTTGGCAGGTATGCATAATTGATACATTTTTTTAAAATTTAGTTATAATATGATTGATAATTTTTTTTCTTTTTGTAAATAATAAATATTCAGTGACGCAACAGCCCATTGAGGGCCAGGCCTAGTGTGCCCATCTCATACCTTGAGCTCTGGGGTGCAGGAGCAGATGTTCCGGTTGGATGGTCAGTCAAACACGGAATCCCCAGTGTTTAGTCCGCAAGCATGCTTGATACTCATTTTATCTACCCACTAAAGGGATGAAGTCTGAGTCAACCTTGTCCTACCCGAGAATCGAACCCAGGACCTGTGGCGCACCACTCAGTTATGGGTCCTCGTGATTAATAAATACTTAAGTGTATATTTTTGTGTTTTCAACTATTTGTAAATAAAAATTATTTTAAAGTATTAATATTGATTTGCTAGAATATTTATATTACCATGTTTAGTAGGTAAGTCTTGTGATTTGTAAAATCATCCTATATAACAAATCCTTTATAATGCAAAGCCTCAAGTTTCAAGGTTTGTGTTATCTACTACTGTAATATGAACTCAAATTTGTTAACCTATTTTTAAAAAAAATTTGATCAAGTTTATTAAACTGAATTTTGAACAGATCATTTAACAGACAACTTTATGTTTGTCTTTTTTTTTTAATTAATAATTACATTTAAAACTTATATGTTTCAAGGGTAGAAATAAAGAATATTTGGCCACTGGTCTGTTTACTTGTCTCTATTAATTAAAACTGAGCAATAACAGTTTTAAAAAGTAAATTTAAGATTTATATGTTTCCAGGGTAGAAATAAAGAAAATTTGGTCACTGGTCTGTTTACTTGTTTCATTTAATTAAAAATAAGTAATAAAAGTTTTTAGAAGTAAATTTAAATGAAAAATCACATCACACAAAATGTTTAATGTTTACCGTTATAATCTATATTAATAAAAAAACACAGCTAATGTTTAATATTGGTTGTTGACAATTATTTTATGCTGGTTCGCGTCAAATTTTAGTGGTTCTAGACCAGGGGTGGCGAACCTTTATACACCAACGTGCCATTTTTTCTAAAAAAAACTGTTTAATGATGTCATAGACGTGCCGTCAAGTAATTTTGACTTCGTGATTATTAGGATAATAATACTAAATACTATCAACCGAAAACTATTTACATTGAAGAAAAAAAATACATTTTCAATGTCTCAGTTATAGGCGTAATTCAACTTGAAGTAACATCAGTGTGACTTCTGTTGCTGCAGATTAGATGACAAATAACTTATGTTAGGTTGTAAGATGTTAGTTTCAGCAAGACTGTTAATTTTTTTTGCTAGTTACTTATTGTTAACTTGTTTTTTATGGTTAATTGTTTTTTAGCATTAATTGTTAATTTTTGTATTAATAGTTGTTTATTATTTTGTTTGTTTTTGTGATTTTTAATTTAATTGTTACATATGCTTCAAATTGTAATAACATTTGTGTAATAACAATTCATAGTGCAATAACAATAGTGATCGGTGGGGTGCCCAAAATATTATGTCATGTGCCATAAATGGCACGCGTGCCATTGGTTCGCCATCCCTGTTCTAGACCAACAGGTCATCATTGCTTTCAAACTATGTGTTTTGACTGGTTAATTGTTATTTTATGATAATTTTAAATTTATTCTTAGCTACGACTTAAACATGAATTATAATTTTAGGAGCGGGTCTCTGTGGACTTGGACTTGTAGCAGCGATTATTGTTGGAACATTAGATGTTAATGGTTTTAGAAGACTTGGGTTGATGGATACTATAAACACTGAATCAAAACAAGTGGTAAACTTTTTTTTTTACTTTAATCAAATTTCAGTGAAACCCTGCTAGTCTATATACCACATTAATTTGGAGCATAATAAAATTTATGATCAATAAGATATTGTTTAAGTTATTTAAATAGAGGCTGTTCAAATATTACCTATGTATGTTTTTTTTTTAAATTTTGGACACCTCTTGCCCTTTATCCCCAAAAATAAGCAAATCACAAAACTTGCTTACCTACGAAAGTGGCAATACCCCCTTTGTATTTTTCTATAACTTTGTAACAACTCAATTTTACAATTAAATTCAAATTAAATATCTAATGCAATTAACAAAATAATGTTTTCATTCATTTTATAAAATTTTGAATCGAATATTCTTAAGGAATCTTTTGTGATTTCTTCCTGCGCTCAAAACGCTTTAATTTTCTATACTCCAAATTTAACTTTGGTTAAGAAGTTTAGAAATAATATTTTTTATTCTTAACCCTAACTTAGAGTTTTCAACCCTGAAAATATCCTTGAATAAAGCTAGTCTCAAGGTGAAAATAATCTTAAATCTAGGTCATTTTGAGATTCGCAATGTCTTGTATGCTCAGCTTTGTCATGAAATTTTAATGGGCGTTGCAATTTGATCCTATTGCTAGTGTGACGTCATTAGGGTCCTAAGTGACAATACTTTTTTTAAAAAGCTTTAAAAAATAATTTTTAATCCTTTTTGGATGGAAGGTTTGAAACTGCAATATTTTTGCTTTAAAGGATTTTAGCACAAACATTTTCATGATAGGGTGACCTGGGGTAATTCCTGATCAAAAAATGCAAACATCTATTTTGTGAAAAAACTATTCAAGATAGAATTTTAATATTTACAGGAAATTTGAGGCTATATGGGATGAGTCCTATGCTACCTTCTTTTGTTTGAAAATCTAATTAGAATTTAAAAGATTTTAAATTTTTAGTAATCAGGAATTACCCCTTCTCTTGATCATTTCTGGGGTAATTACTGATCACCAGTTTTTATAGTAAATGGGCTGTTTAAAAATAATTATACTATGGTAATTTACAAATAAGACATTAAAATCAAACAAATAAACCAAAAAGATATTTTTAAGCAGCTATTAAAACGTTTTATTTAAAAGCCGGAATAAAGATTAACACTTCAGCTCTGGCAGCAGCTCTCACACTGAAGTTTTCATTTTCAATCATTAAGAGAAATTTGCCAGTTTTGCTTTCTAGAAGCTTAGTATCCTTTTTAGGCTTATAATCTTTCACCATATTTATATTAGGTTAATTTATCAACTTAAAAATTATTCTAACAATGTACACACATAAAAATAAGATAGAAGAAAGGTAAGACAAGCTAGAAATGGTGCATATCAGAACACATTTGTCTTGTATACAGTTAAAAACAAATTTTGTGATTATAGTTAAAATATATTTTATAGTTGTTCCACTTAATAAATATGAACTGTTATTTAAGAAAAGACAATTAACTATTTATTAGCTATTTTTTATACTATTTATAAGAAGAAATGACAATGATCAGGAATTACCCCAGTGATCAATAATTACCCCATCTGTAGGGGGCAACATTTGATATAGTTTCCTATAATCAATTATAATGTTTACAATAGATGTGAAACAATTAAACAAAAGCTTACACTATTTTTATATCAAAGAAAAAGAAAGTAACTCAAAATATTTATTATTAAGAGAAGGAGGGGGATCTTTGCAGAAATGTGCACAATTTGAAACCCATCTTTGAAATGGAAAATGCAGAAAGTATTTTAAAAGATACTTATTTCGTTAAATTAAACAAAGAACTGTTATTAAGTAAATGTAGTTATACTTTAGTAAAGTGTACAAGCTTTCTTGTCCATGTCTCAAATTTAAAAAATATTATTTTTAAAAAAATAAAACTTAGGTGATCATTATTTACCCCAGAAACAGTGTGATCGTGAATCACCCCGGATCACCCTAATGAAAAGAAAATTCCGACCCAAGGTTACATGCTTTCTGGGATGAACCTAGTTCGAAGTATTCAGTACAGGATTTGTGAAACTAATATTGATACAACGGACCGAGTTTCTCGTACCTAGATCTCTTAGATCAATCTTGGTATGTCTGATGCAGTAACAATATTACTAGCATTACTTAGTTGGGGTATTCCACTGACTCAAATATTTTGGTTGATTATACATTATTGTGCATAGCTTTTTTAAAAAGTTTTTAAAGGTGCATATTTTTGATTTTCATTTTTTAAAAGCCCGTAAAGGTGCTTTTTTATTGAGTGTTTTTAAAAAAAGTTTAATTTTCCCTTTTTGAAAATGAGATTTTTTCTCCGCCCTATCGATTTTCGTCACATATTATGTAAAAGCATGGTTTTCACATTCTTCTATTCAGCATTTTTAGAATTCATTCAAACGCAATACATTTCAGCTTACCATCAGTCCGTAACTTACATTTTACTTGTTTGATGAAATACTTGTGGGTCTGCATTTGCATCTACTAAGCTGGGTTTGGTAAGATTGTTGTACTCTCATGTGCAACTCTGCTGCATTTTGCAAGATATTCTCAATTCTCTCACGCACTGAAATCGAACCGAAAAATCTCTCCTTTTTTTTAAGTGTTTGAAAGTTCTTTTGCATTTTGTTAATGTATATCATCATTATCAATGGCGCGATAGCCCAGGATGAGACTTGGCCTTCTCAGAAAGTTTTTTCCAGGCTAACCTTTTTCCTGCTAGTGTTTTTTAGTTTTTAAGAGCAAAGGGTCTTTTTCTTGGCCATCTATCCATCTCAAATTCGGCCTGCCTCTTTTTTGTGTGCCTATTGGTCTGGCATTAAAAACTCTTTTTGTGGTACAGTCTTGAAAACTCTTTTTGTGGTTCATTCTGTTAATGTGATCTGCCCATTTTATTCTTTGTCATTTAATAAAGTTAATAATGTCAGGTTCATTATATGAGTGATAAAGCTCTAGATTTGATCTTCTAAGCTATGCACTATTTTTTTTTAAATTCCTCCAAAAATACTTAAGACCTTTCTTTCAAAGGTACCTAACATAGCCTCATCTGTAGATAGGGTCCAGGTTTCACAAGCATATGTTAAAATTGATTTTGAAAGAGATTTATGTAATAAAACTTTTGTTTTTCTATGAATTACATTAGATTTTATGTATTTTCGAATTACATTAAAATATTTATTGGCTATAATATATCTTCTTTGCATTGTTAATGTATATAGTGCTTAAAAATATTTTTGAGTGCTAAAAAAATATTTTTGAGTGCTTAAAAAATACTTTAAAGGTGCTTATTTTTTGACTACGCACTCTGTTATTGAACTGATGCACTGCTGTTTCTTTCTTCAGCACATATCTGATGTAAAATACTTCTCATTATCTTATTGGCTGCTGATACTCACTATAATGTTCTTCTATAATGGTGTATTTCCTTTTGTGGCAGATGCAAGGTAAGTTTTTAAGTCTTAGAAAATATTTTTTGTTTTTAATATCATAAATGCTCTATAAACATTTAAAAAAAATATTTATTTAAATATATCGATGTTATCTTTATATTCAGTTCATATTGTTTTAGTGTATATTTAAAACTTCAAAATTCATTCTCTCTCTCTTGTTCTGCAGTGGACTGATCGTAAAGACTCGGTTCCCAGTGGAACACGGAAGTCAAGCATTATTGGCTGCTTTCAGTAAGGGGGTGTGTGTGATTGTTAAGGTCTGCAGTGAACTGATGGTTATGACCCAAGTCAAAATTTTTGATAGTTTTCCATTGATGGAACAACATAATCTTGATTTTAACCATCAATAATACCATCATAAACCATTATATTTTTTTATAGTAACCAACATAAGTAACCATCATCACAATGTAGGATTTTGGACTGATTTATGATGGTCCAACATAACAATAGCAACTTGTTTTGATGGTTTGTTCATCTTGAAATATCGGAAATTTCCTTCATAGTTTCTTAGAAATCAAATTTTGAACCGATTATGAACCAACATTTCCCCAACGTAGGAATTCGAACTGATTTATGATAGGCCATCTTTAAAAAAAAAAATTTTTTTTGCCTGTGTGTTCTTGCTGAACCAACAAGAATTTCCATTAAATCATCATGGAAATGTATAGTTGGAACCATCATGGATTGCCGTGATTGTTGGTACAGGAGAATCAAACTTCTCTTGATGGTTAACCATCATTGTATTAAGATAGTATTTTCCATCATGGAATAATGGAAGTTTGTTAACATATCAAAAACCATGAACATGTAATGGAAAATGTTGGATGATGGTGACCATCAATTGATGTTGGACCATCCCTGAATCGTGCTGAAACCAACACAAACCAGCAAGAATTTTGACTTGGGTATTGTTACCCTCTTCATCAACCACTATCAGGGAATGAGATCTAAGTTGGGGTTACAAAGATTGTCTTTATCTGATGTTATTGAAGTCAAGCATCACTGGCAGCGGTCAGTAAGCATGTGGGGGACCACTTTGATCAGCCTGCATATGGCCAAGAGAGAGCAGTATCTGTCCTCGTTAAAACTCTTCTACCATAAACGGATGTTTCCCAAGGATGAGACCGTCGTAAATAGCCCATTGTGCAGCTCTAGTGTGACATAAAAAAAAGTTCCTACCTCTCTCTCTCTTTTGAGGAAATTATTGTTGTAACAGAATTAAGAAAATGTACAGTGATTTTTGTATCATATAGCTTAGATTATTTCTTTGTGATCCGCATTGAAATTTCATTTAGCCAAATTATATGTGTGTTTATTTACTTTTTTGTTTATTTATAATTTTTTATTTTGAAAACAATTACCAAACTCAATGATTTGAATGAGAATCTACTTTTTCGTCAATATTTTCTTTCTATCAAGTTTTATTACTTTACACGAAAGATCTTCTAGTTCTACTAATAAATAAATGTATTAATATTTTAAAATCAAGTTTTAAATCAATGATTTTACTTAACCTTTTATATTTAAAAAATATGTGACTAATAATTGTTATCCATTACAAATAAATGCTGTTTACAGCCACTATAAAAGTTAGCTTTACTGAAAACAATTGTGATAATTTCACTACCTAGATATTTTTTAATGTAAAATTCGAATTCATATTATATACATGCTTAATTTAATCTAAATTAGCAAATCATGTTCATCTGTATTTAAACAAGTGTATCGTAAGTTCTTTTTTGTTAGATCTACTTTTCAGTTACTCTGATTTCATATACTTTTGGGTTGTGGTATACCTTTTGTTGTGTCATCCTATTTTACTTCACTTTGCTGATTATTGTTCGTATTACAATAATAGTGTTGCAGTTAGCCTTCTATTTAACGAACTTCCTTTTGCGATTTTTTTTCTTCCAGGAACCAAGAACATTTTGGAAATTTCTTCGTAAAATAATTTCCGAATAGCGAATTGAATTTTATGTATAATGAACTATTCTTTGAGATCCACTTTCCCTATTTCCCAAAATATTTTAGAACATTTCTAACTTGTTGATGCAATTTATGGGAGAAATGACCTTGAATTGATTTTCAAAACCACTTAACTTTCAGAGAAAGCAGTAAAATCCCTCTCCCTCTTTGTCTCCCTCTTGCATGTCAAATGAAAGACTCACACAGAAATTTTATTAGCAGCAATTAAACTTAGGAATGCATGTGGTAATATACACTCTATAACAAAAAATTGACACACCAAGAAGGAGTTGTCCAATTGAAATGAAAATTGGTGGATAGGAAGACAATGTACAGAATGGTAAATGATTGAAATTTCAGAACAATTGAATAATTTATTGCAGAGTTACAGTAACAAGTTCAATAAGGTGTTGACCCGCCTCTAGCCTGGATACAAGCTGCCACACCGCTGAGCATAGGCCGATAAAGCTTCCGGGAGGTCTCTTGCGGTATTTCCTGCCAAATTCGATCCAATTGCTGAACGCGGTCATCAACATCGTTCCCAATCGCAATTGCCTTCCCATCATATCCCAGATATGCTCAATGGGAGAGAGATCTGGTGATCTGGCAGGCCAAGGAAGAGTTTGACAAGCTTGCAGACAGTTCTTAGCAACACGTGCTATATGTGGTCTGGCATTGTCCTGATGAAAAACTAGCCCAGGGTGCTGCAAAAAGAACGGTAGCAAAACAGGTCTTAGGATGTCGTCGACGTCCCGCTGTGCAGTAAGTGTACCTCGAATGACAACCAAAGGGGTCTGGCTGTCAAAGGACATGGCACCCCAGCCTAATCGAGCGTCGATTTTACGCGTCTTAGTGCGTTCTTGGTGCATCAATTTTTTTGTTATAGAGTGTATGTTTAAACTTACTTTTATAAAAAATGCAGCTATAATTTTATGCATAAATTTAGCTTTTTTTAGTTGAAAATGTATGAATGTAGCATGATAATGTAACACTGGATACTGTTTATCTCATTCTTGCTTTCCATGCAGATTTCTTTAAAGGTTAAGATTTGTAAAATAAATAGTAGATACTAGTTTACAAGATAAAGGGTTATTTAAGTATTCTTTTGTGTTATTTAAGTATTTCAAAGATGATTTTCTATTTGACGAATTTTTCATATAATGAACATATTGGGACGTAATGACTTCGTTAAATAGAGGTCTGACTGTATTTTTATACATTAAAAATTTACTACAAATGTGCGAACGTATTTATGAACAGGTGTAAAAAAAAATATAAGCATAGTACCCACAGAAGCATATGTATCAGAAAAAAACTCAACAGCCACTCCAAAGAAAGAATAGGGAAATACAGGGAATTTAAGTGTCACTTGAAGTAAAAGGAAAATGCAAAAAATTTTATTTTTTCTTTACAAACTGGGAAAATACAGGGAATTTTGTTTCTTATTTTCGTCTTTTAAAGAATGGTGACCACTCAAAGCGTAATCTAAAGGATATTTAAGGATGATATTTCAGCTATACTAAACTATTTCATTTACTATAGCATTTTTTAAGTATGTTCAGCTGTTCCTTTTTTCTCTAAATGTTTCCAGCAATTGTAACTAGTTAGCCCAATATAGCACACATAAGAGAACAGTGATTGTGTTTCTTCTTAATATATTGTGTATAATATGTACAGGGTTTTTTTTTCTACAGAAAAAGATCCAGAATTGAGTGGCAACCGTGACAAAATTGATAATTTCTTTCCAAAAAAAGCTACTATATTTCCTTTTTTTTGTTAAAAAGAAATATCTGTATAGCTAATATGAATTTTTTGGAGTGAATCAGAATCAAATAAAAAAGTTTTATAAATCTTTGCAAATTTAAATTATACATTGTTTAATTTTTTGTTTCAATAATAATAAAGTTATTTTTTCACGAAAAATAAGCAATAATCCAGCAACTAAGTAAGGAAAACAGTTAATTTTCATTACCAAACGGGAAAAAAAAGAGATGGATTTGCGATGAAAATATTTATTTGCTCATTCAATTAATCTTGTAAATTTTTATTTATTATGTCTATACAAAAACAATACAAACAAGCCTTTTAGAAATCCCTAATCCAGACTTCGCAAATATCTAGATTCTTATTCACGCGATTTTAATATCAATCATCTATTTTCGTATTTACTTGATTTAAAAGTTGCGCATTGTGATTCATATACGCTATTTAAATATCGTAAATTATGATTCTTATTTACGATATTTAAAAATCTAATATCGCATTTTGTATTTAAGCATTTTTAAAATCGCGATTTTGTTATCAAACATCTATTTTCGTATTTATCTGATTTAAAAGTTGAACGTTGCGATTCTTATTCAGGCGATTTAAATATCGTTCATCGCGATTCTTATTTACGAGATTTAAAAATCCAATATCGCGATTTGTATTTACGCGCTTTTAAAAGCTTATGTAGCGATTCGTATTTACGGGAGCTTAGAATCCAATGTCGTGATTCGTTTTTACGGTTGCAATATCAAACATCGATTTTCGTTTTGATACATGCTTTAAAAATTAGACATTGGGGTTCATGTTCGCGCAATTTAAAAATTATGCATCGTGATTCGTATTCACGTGATCTAAAAATTAACCCTCGGGATTTATAATCACATGATTTACAAGTTTTAAAATCACACTTTTTTGTCAAATTTTTAGATTTTGAATATATATATATTCTTGGATTTCCTCTTTTTCTCTTTTTGACTACTCTCATCCTTGATATTGGAAGTCGATAGAAAGTCAATTTTTTATTGTATAAACGTTAAGCAATGAGAAAAGATTATCGAAATATGTAATTAGCAATCATGACAAAATTTTAAAAAATACTCATTTGTGCTTTTTTTTTTCCTCTTAAAAGTAATGATGTGATTTTATGAGAAAAATTAGGAATTTGTTGTATTGAGTACTGTGTTTAGTTGCACAAGGTCTTAAAAAAGTTAAAATAATTAAGCAGCATCAGCTGTAATAGTAATTAAATACTTGTCAGTAATCTTTATATGCTGATGGGAAGGAGTGTCAGTTAACCAAAGTATATGATTGGGCATTGGATAATTGGAGTCCTACTACATATACATGTATGTAATCGAATTTAATTTGACTCTATTGAAAATATAATCCCCCCCCCTAAATGAATGTATGCATCTACACCTGACACTGATCTGCTTTTATAGGGTTGGGGTTTTGGACAAATTAAACTAGTTTTGGACTGTCTTAAACTGACTGGAACTGTCTGAAAGTGTCCGAAACCTTGAATATGGGTAAAAGGTAAAAATTCTATAAGTGTAACCATTGTACACATAATAACTACATGTATTCATAAATATTTGATACTGTTTATGCAATTTGCTTTAACTCTTTAAAGGAAAATAATATAATATATAGATTTATAACATTTGAAACTCCACAATACATTGAACAACAAAAGTGAATACCTTAAAACATGAATACATATACTCTATACATATGTTTTTAATACTGATAAGTTATGTTTTTGCATAAGTATAAATAATGCAAGATTAAAAATAATAATAAATTTTTTAATAAAACCAAAATTGTGTTTATTTTTTTTTCTTGTTCAAAAATTAACCTTTTTTCACAATATTTTTTTAAAAATTGTGATATAACTTTGAGTAAAGGGGTTTTGGACAGGGCGGTTTAAATCGTGGATTAATCCGTTCTGTCCCAAACCTTGCCAACTCTATTCATAAATTGTAACAAAATGGTTATTAATATGAAGCTTTTATTGTATACCTTGTTTATGACCCACATTTAATGTAGATTTGTTTTGTTCTGCAGCAAATTCATTGTAGACAAGTATCATTATGATGATAATGTGGCAGCATACATGGCTGGTGCTATCTATGATGTATCTTTAGTGATGTCTCCATTTTTAGGAGGACTTATTGTGAGTATCTCTTTTAATCTTTATATTTCAGTGATGAATCATTACTATAAATATGGGTCTACACCAGGGTTCACCATAGTGAGCCCATCCAAAAAAAATGTATCCAGATAGATCAATAGTTGTTGATATAATTTTATTTTATAACCGTTTGTTTAGTTTTATAAATTTTTCATTTATTAATATTTAATTTTCAATTTAAATTTAGTGTTTTAAAACTTAATTGTAACTTTTAAAAGATAGCAATATTAATTCATTAAATATCATTTATTTTGTTTTAATTCAGAGATGTCAGCACAATTTTTTGTAGGAGTCTGTGCAGTAGTAAGTTTCTTTTCGAACCTTTACTTTGTTTTTCGCCACGCCCCGAATTTATGTATGAATTCGATGCATTGTAGATGTTTATAATATTTTCCTTTTCGGGACCAGCTCCCAAAGGATATTACGTTCAAGATTAATTGTTATTTTTTCGATAACTGTTATGGTTAGCTATTAATTTCGAGGTGAGTCATTTTTTTATGTTTTGTTGTCAATCGTTGTGCTGAACTGACTGAAATCGTTTTCATGTTCAATTAACTAAATAATTATTGCTGCTATCTTATTAACAACTTGATTACTGTTACAAATTTAATTTCAGTTTATTTTTTGTGAAATAAATTATTATCCAGTATATGTTTATTGTTCGATATATTATTAAGCAGAATAAAATGTTCTTAAGATACTTACTTTGTCAGGGTTTAAATTTTACAATATTAATATTTTTTTCTTTCTCATTTCTATTTTGGTCATTAATTTTACCTGGTCCGTCATTTTACTATCACACATATACCGTTATTGAACAGTCGACCCATTTTTTTGGGCTTACGGCTACTAATGTTTTACTCCGTAGCCTTGTAAATTTGAACACAATCCACGAGACAAGGAACTCCTGGATCAACCATTGGCTTTCGTGGAGGACTTTTTGATGGAACTAACCTGCATTTGCTTTACATGAAGAGGAAAACCATGAAAGCCTTGCACGGTTAGCCTGATGGCAAGGGGACTCTAACCCATGATCCGTTTACCACTGAGGATATTTTACAATAGCGCTGTGGTCAGTGCGAGCTGGGTGTAGAATTCGTATCAAAAAGCCATCCCTGAGATTTGAACACGATTCACCTCATTGGAAGGCAAACACTGTATCACCTGAACTACCACGGCTCAGATCGATGAGTTGTACTACAAACTCAAAATAATTGTAAACTATTGTCATTCACAAGGGCGGGCAATCACACGGAGTGCCAAGTAAGGAGGGTGCAAAACAAGACCCAGAAGTAATGCTCTGTAAACTACTTGTTTCCCTCTTTTTTAAAATGTTGTTTGCTTTAAAACTAAATTAATAGGCTGTTTTTTATTAATTATATATTCTTAGTTATCTTATTATAATTATCTTATTATAAGATAATTATCTATTAATTAATTACCTCTTAATTATCTATTCTCATCTTTTTGAGCTAACTAATTTTTATGATATAAAATTAAATGCAGATTTGAACGAAGAACATAACTGCCGATTTATTTAAAATAGCTTAATCATTCATAATTGGTAAATTTATTTCACGCAAAACTATATCAGTTGGGATCATTTTTGTAGACGCTAAATTTTATTCATCGATCCGTCTTTTCATGGTGCAAGCAGAAGTTGCATTTCTGCGCCCAGAAAATAGCACAAACTAAAATTAAAATCGTTTGCAAAAAATCATGTACCTTTGATAACAATTTTGAAGTCAATGGAGGTATCCTCTAAGAATGATAACTTTACTGTGAAACGGGGTGTGGTCGCTCCTGAGAGGTTTCACTGTATAAACATAATTACGGAATTAAAACTCCCGAGAACTTTTTTTTTGTTCAATCTTACCAAAACTTCCGAGAATTTACGCCTGAAAGGTTTCACTGGGCAAACATAATTACGGAATTAAAAAATTGCTGGTAAATAAAAATTCTATTCTGTATGTATTTATCAGTTTCTTAAGGAAGCTTGTATACAATAATGTAGTTATTGCAGTTGTTTTTTATATATTAATGGGATTATTAATTATAGGATGTATATTATTTATTTATTTTTATAGGATGTTTTTGGAAAAAGAGGTGTTCTGTGTGTGGTCTGTGCAACTTTGACGATTCCTGTATTTGGTTTGTTGGCATTCTCTCAAGCTCATCCTTTAATCGCAACCATATGGTTTGGTGTCACTTACTCTGTTGCAGCAGTAAGTTAATGAGTACCCTCTTAAAATAATGCTGTGTGCAGCACCAAATTTTTGAGTTAAATTCATTCCTAGTTGCGTTGACATTTTTGCAAAATAAAAAAGAATGCAGTACCAGTTATCCATGCTTTTTTGGTGAATAACCAGTATTTCTTTCTAACTAATTCTCCCACATTTATTGCTGTAAAGATTTCCTTTTTGATGAGGTAATCATTCAATTTTAAGAACATGCAAATAAGACATTTGATGATACTATACAATGTCTTTAATGATTGTGACTCAAAATTAATAGACACTCAGGTATTTAATGACATTTAATTTTATCCATAAATTACATTTTAATTATTTCTTCATCTTTAATTAATTTTATAAATTCAAATTACAATTTCTAATTTATTTTTTTTTAAAGTTCATGTAATACATGTTTGTTTTTTTATAATATTTTTTGTATAAAGGTCATGAATTTTAGAAGCTTTATTGTTTTTTTAGAAAATTATAGGTAATCTACAAGATGCACCTTTAATAGATATTTTGTTATTTTTAGACAAGTATTTTGTGGAAAATTCTATTTTTCAAGTGGTTTTAAAATATTAATGTATTTAAATATTTTTTAAACCTTATTCATATTTGAATTTTTTGATAATAAACCATTGTTGTAAGTTAATAGATTGTTGCTTATTTTTAATAATGCAAACTAAAAATCAGCTTTCGGTTTACATTGTAAACTTAAGTACAAAATAAAACATTTTTTCAGCAATAGAGATTCAATTAATAAAAATATATTACAGCATACCTGCCAACTCTACTGGATTTTCCAGTAGACTTCTGGATTTTGCCAGTTTCTCCTGCTTTACTGGTTTAATTTAAACTCTCCTGGTGTTTTACATTTTAGAAAATTTCCTGAAATTGAGTAGGTTTCCTAAAAATAATCCCTATTGAAATAGGATTTTCGTACAGATTATTGTTTGCTTCCTTGCTTGAATATTTAAATAAATATTACATAATGAAGTGGACTTTATTGTGTAAAAATCAGTTCAAAACTTTTTTTTGTTCTGAAATTTTCAGTTTATTTTTATTCAGAACACTTTTTTAATTAATTAAAAGAATCGTTTTTACTATTTTTGATGAACTAAATGTCTATTAATATTCGAAATTATAAATAAAGATGATACATAAGATTTAAAATATGTTTAATGTCAATCATAACTGGAAAATACTGCAGTTTTTCTATTTCGATGACTATAAAAATCCTTAAACTTCCCTATCATAAAATATTTAGTACATTATGCAACAATTATCATAAAATTTATATTATTTCATAAAATCTACTGGATTTTTTCCTGTCCATGTTGATTCTGTCCATTGTCTATGATTGCAGTCAAACCCCAATTTCACGAACTTCTATTTATTTAATTTCGGGTTGAGAGTTAGCGGATCTTTCTTAACCTCTATTGAAATGAAGACAGAACCCCTGAACAGTAAACTCCATATTAATGAATCATTTCAAGATTTAAAAATAATACAAGATATGTGTTAATAGAAACTACTGGATTTTTTAGAACTATTATTGTTTCATATATAAATAATTTATTTTATTGAAAAAATACAATAGGTATTGTTTTATATTTGATATTATTATGTTTCAATATTTATTATTATGTTTCAATATTTATTAATATGTTTCAATACTTCAAACATGAAATAATAATTTAAAGTTGTAAATAAAAATGAATATACAATGAGGACCCGATCTGAGAATTTCATGAGAACCGAAAATTTTTATTTGTTTAATCATTATTTCGTTTAATCAGGGTTAATTGTTATGTCGAAGTTTTTTTAAAAAATGCACTTGTCTTATGAATTAGTCCTAATATGCAACTATACAAGCATTCATAAGTTTTTAGCTTTAAATTTTAAGTTGTTTTTCGTCTATGGAACCTAAAATGATCGACCCTATTTCGGTAGAGCCGCCAAATATTATTTTTAGAAGAGGATAAGTAACCTTTGTATGCTCCATATTTTGTAAGGTAGAACCAAGTTTCTGAAAATACATTTTGAAAAATATGTGATATCAAGACACAAAAACTTAAGGCACTGATCAACTCACTAGTGCATTCAAAATTCACTGTATTTTTGGCTGCTGAATTAAAAGTGTATAATTTCAAGTTATAGATATTTTTGTGTAGTTGTATATTAGGATTTTGCTGAGTATACTTGGTGGTGTAAATGAAAACAATAACTGAAGAAGTGCACGATTTATGAACAACCCGATATTATTAAGTACATAAAAATAAATGAATTGAATGGCCCGTGTGATTCGAATGAGTGATAACGATACAATAAAAAAGACGCTGCTTTTTGAACCCAGGGTAACAAAAGAGCGGGGAAGGGCGTAGTTGAGATGTGCTGACTTAGTGGAGTCTGATTTTCTTGCAATTAATGAAAAGAATCAGAGATCAACCATGATTTGAGTCGTTAGAGAGATTTGAAGTCGTTATGGAGAAATCTTCAGAGGAAGGCATTGACCGACATTGGGCTGTCTGGCCAACTATGATGATGTGTATTAGGATTGTTTCATAAGTTAAGTTCGTGTTTTTATTTTTGAACCTGAATATAACGAGTAAAATATTCGATGCAAATAAATTTATGAAATTGGGACTTAGCTATATTCATTATATTTTTCCATACTTGTTAATCATTTTACTGTGATTCATTAAATTTAGCCTATAAAATTTTTTACCTTTTTTTTATCTTGTAGGCTTGTATGTGGCCATCTATTCCTCTGGTAGTTTCTCGTGCCACAATTGGCACGGCCATGGGGTTGGCTACTTCAGTTCAGATGATTGGTGTGGGATGCTCAAACCTAATCGTTGGAGAGATTCAAGGAAAAAGTCGCGAGTAAGTTTTTTTTTCCTTTATTTTTTTCTCTGTATATTTTCTATGCTGAAAAATATAATTTATGTAACCATATAATTTTTTTTTTGAAGTAAATAACTGCTTCCCTTACCAATTTTTTTGAACAAAAAATGCAAAAAAAAATCAACATATTCTTTTATTTCATTAATAAATGCAAGGAACTAAAACAAAGCGTAATACACAAGTTCTAAGTGAAAAATTTAAATTTTTTTATGAGCAAAAAGTATTTAATTTACCATCAGTTTGCGATCCCAAATTATCACAGGCAAAAAAAAATGTTAAATATTAGTCATGTTTACATCTTCATAATTTGAAAAATCATCTGCATTACTTTCACTCGTGAACACCATTTGTTTTACTCTTTTTTCTGTGTAAATTCATCAACTATCGTATATACAATTGTACAAAGTATGTCTGCAGTCCCACAAATAGCAAAACTCCCAAACAAAAATTGGCAAAGTTCCAATCACAGCAAATTATTATTATTTTTTGTTTTGTTGTCAGTCGAATAAAAACGTGATAAAACAAAACGCACTGACAAATTCTGCTTTGCTCGAGTTAACTCGGGATAATAAATATTTACATTATGTACATACCCGAGTTAACTCGGGATAATGAGGGAAGCGGTTAAGTATTCACAGAGTTGCCACTTCACGGGGAAAACCTGGAAAATACAGGGAATTTAAAAAATCACCTAAAATAAGTGGGAAAATGCAGGAAATTTTGTTTCCTATTTTCTTTTTTTCAAAAAATTTTATTTACTCAAAGTGCAATCTAAGAAATATTTAAGGATAATATTTCAGCTATATTAAACTGGTTTATCTACAAGGTCCGGCTATTAATTTCCAGGATTGAGGTAACTGTTGGAGAAAGAAAAGCCGGAATATGGCGCTAAGGATTGCATATTGAAGATTGTTTTCTTGCGCATGTGCAGTGCAATCGGCGCCATTCTGAACTGAGTGGTTCTCGTGGAAAGGCGCATTAAAACGGAGCTCTTAAATTCCTGTTGTCGAAGTGAAATGGAGCAAAGAATTAACATTAAATTTTGCTTCAAATTGGGCAAGACAGCTGCAGAAACCTACAAATTGTTAAAACAAGTTTATGGCAAGGAAGCATTATCTCGCTCAAGAACTTTTGAATGGTTTAAACGCTTTTGAATGCGAATGCGTAGAAGATGATCCGCACACAGTTCGGCCGCAGTTCGCACGCAAGCCAGAAGCAATTGAAAAAGTTTGCGTCCACATATTGCGTTTGCCTGTGAGGCGGTTCTTAGCTCAGCATGGTGTCGTTGAGTCGCAGCATCCACCATACTCGCCAGACCTAGCACACACTTTTTCCTGTTTCTTAAGCAGAAAAATTCACTGAAGGAAACAAGATTTCAGGATGTTGAAGCCTTCACGAAAACTGTAACGTCACTAATAAAGAGCATTCCAAAAGTGGACTTTAAAACTTCTTTCCGAAATTTGTACAGCCGAGCACAGACGTGTATTACGGCTGATGGGGATTACTTCGAATAATATTAAATGCCTATGTGTTTAACTTTTTTTTCTTCTGAGTTATTCCATGAGTCCTGGAAATTAATAGCCAGACCATGTATTATAGCATTATTAGTTTTAAGTATGTTCAGCCGTTCCTTAAGTTTTCGGCAATTATAACTAATAGCCCAATACTGCTCACACAATGACTGTGTCTTTCCTATTAATATATTGTGCATAATATCAGGGGGCCAAGCGTTTTTAAAAAGGTGCTTATTTTCGACTTTTGTTTTTTAAAGGTGCTTTTTTAATTGGGTGTTTTTTAAAAATTGCTTAATTTTCCCTTTTCCAAAATGAGATTCTTTTCTTTACCATATCCATCACTGGCTGCGGTCAGTGTGCGGGTGGGTGACCCACTTGGATCAGTCTGCGTAGGGACCGAGGGTGTGCGGTATTGGTCCTCGTTAAACTGTGCTACCGTAAAGTGCTCGACTTCGCGCGCAGGTCGTTGGGCTACCGAAGCGGGGGTGCCATCCCCTCTGCAGAGGATCAAAATTGTGATGGCATGTCTTCGGATCATCCTCAGGGATGTTTCCCAGACCGTCGCCAATAGCCCATTGTGCAGCTCTAGTGCGACGTAAATCAACAACATCATCTTTACCATATCAATTTTTGCCTCGAATTACGCAAGAAGCTTGTTTTGCACATTGTTCTATTCAACGTTTTCATAATTCATTCAATCAACATCTATTTCGACATACCATCATTCTATAGCGTATGAAAGCGCCAATCATTTTATGAAATACTTGCAGGTTTGAATACTGAGTTGGATTCGGTGGGAAGGATTCATGCATTCTCATGAGCAACTCTGCAGCATTTTGCAAGAGAGAAAATCTTTTTAAATAATAGTTATAATTAATTATTTATAATTTTGAATACATTTTTTTGCATGATTGTGTAAAGTAATTAAAAAATTTAATGATTCACTTAATATTGAATGTATATTGAATGTAATATTGAATTGTGAAAAAATTTTTATTTTGGCTAATATAATCACGAAAAGAATTCTTTATCAGAAACTAGTTATTTTATCATGAACAAGTAACTTAAAAAACTATTTTGCATTTTGTTAACGTATATGTATGAAAAACTTTCAACACTATGAAGGGGCGGGGAAATTATTAGTGTGCATATCCTAATTATAATATTTTTTAAATTGCTTAAATAGTACTTAAAATGTGCTTATTTTTTATTGAAAAATTTGGCTGTGTACCCTGAATATGTACAGGGAAAACACAAGGAACTTTTCTTCCAGGTTTAAGTGGCAATCCTGATTCATCACCTCTTTATTATACAGTGCAAAAAATACTTACATAAGAAGCAAATGTAAAATGCAAGAGGGGTTCGCTCTAAAAATGGACTATAGTCAAAAAATATAATTAAAAGATAGAATCTGCTGGCATGCATCTCCATCAAGAACCTGCTGGAGCAAAAAAACATTTTATGCACCACCTCCAGTGAGACTCTGGCAATTTTGCTACACATTTATGTCAACTTTCGAGTTTCATATTTTAATTTGAAGTTTTTACTATGCAGAAGAATAGTAATTATTATTAATAGAAACATAGTATTTTAATTAAAAAAATAAATTTTAAATAATAGTTCGATCAGTAAGTCATAATTTGTAGATATTAAAACAAAATTAAATAAAACATATCTGCCTGGCACAAATTTTTTTTTTCATCTAGAAATTAAAAGCACATAAATCTTTCTTTTTTTTTTAAGCCTACAAAATTTAAAAGATTATTTTAAAAAAAACTTAAACAGCCCTAATCTATAGGAATTTGTGAGCACCAAAGTAAACACAGCTGCAGAGTCACTAGTCGGGGAGACTTTGCAATGCAGATAGTGCAGGAGCAGTTTCTGCAGGCCGTAGGCAAACTACTAAAAACAATTTCTAAGCCAAAAGCTTTATTTGTGTGTATACCTAATGTTGTGCACATATGTTTGTAATTAGTAAAACATGTACTTTAAGAAAAACTAAAAAATATTTTTTATACCCTGGTATATAAATAAAGTGTTCCCCATATGAACTATAATTAGTTAAAAGTATATTTCAGTTGAAATGTATTGAAAAATTATGAAGAAGAACAAACGTTTACAGAATTTGGAGGGGAAAAAATGAGTAATGATCTGATGAAGATGTGCCAAAAAGTGATTTAATTACAGATTCTGCTGCACTGAGTAGTAAATAACATATATCTGACCAATTATTAATCATTTGGTGTTTGGCTGATTATTCGTCTACCAAACAGTTCATGTTTAATGTTAAGATTTTTATGTGGAAAAAAAAATCCTTTTATATATTATAAACAGTGATAAGTTCTGTGACGAAATAATGCAATTTATTGATATGTATTGCATGGGTACCCCTCTTCAGTCCTGAGGACTGAAAACAGTTTTAAGAAAAGTGCAGGAGAATGATTTTCCATCCTCCATTAAATATGTTTTCAATTTGTTTTTGAAACCATGCCTGCCAAGTCTCCTGTTTTTTAATGAAGACTCCTGGATTTTACGACTATCTCCTGTTTACCTGTATATTCTCAAATTTCTTTGTATTTGTTGAAGAAATTTTTGAGCAAAAAAAATTTTTTGCAGCAGATGGTGCTATTGCCAGTACTGCAGTATGTTGAGTGTTAGTAGTTTAAGTAATTATAAATAATGGTTTAAAAAAATCTTCTTTAGATTAATGTAAGTTCTTATATTATTTCCAATTTTAAATTTCTCTTTTTGACTTACATGATTATGCATGATGTATCAAAACTTTACTCGTAGCCTAAAAAGTTTTGCTAGTAAAATCTAAAAAGATTTGCTTATTTTATTTCTTCAATGTTGGCAGGTATGTCAAATTAAGTTTTCATTTACAAATTTAACTTTTTCTTTAAAAATGTAATAATTATTTTATGTTAAAATAAATAAATAAATTATTACTATTCATGAAAACATTGTTTTTCATAATTATTGCAAAATAACTAAGTAATGATGTTGCACCACAATAAAGGAATTATCTGCTTGTCTAAAAGAAATATTTTTGAATCTAAATCTGCTTTAGTTCGTATTTTTTTTAACTGTTGGGAAACAGTTTGAGATTGTGGACAAAGTTAAATTAAGATTATTTTTTAAAATATTAAATTTATATTTCTATAACGAAGCATTAATGATGATGAAATGTAAAATAAGTTGAAATATGCATGACTCTTAGAAAAAAATTCATAGTTTATTTTGGCCGATTGGTATAAAAAAATAAACAATGTATTTTTTAGCTGTAAAAAATAATAAAAAGAAGAAAAATGTGTTTGTGATGCCACAATAGGCATTACATATTTCCTAAACTTTAAAATTAATTAATATCTTAAAATTATTTTTTTAAATTATTCTTAAACAAATTTTAATTATATTAAATCAATTATTTAATTTTTATGAAATTTTAAGAAAAGTGAACATAAAATATTTTATTCTTTTCTTATCAATCAATGTAACGGCTAACTTTTTATTTGAACTCATTAATTCGCTGTCATGACTAATGGAAAATAAAAATCTATTTATAACTCTTTATTTCTTATCATAAAAATGTTTCAGTTACATGGTTATACTAATCCTAATAGTCTTTTTGGCAATTCGTTTTTGCTAAATTATTTTTTAATATTGATTGTGGGGGTTGGTTTTGTTTTTGGCTATGTTATCTTTCAGTAAATTGCCAATCTCTTCCTATGATCCTAACTGTCCAGAAACAATTCATTCACTTTTTAATTTTGCTTTCAATTGGGCTGGTCATGGGGGATTTATTTCCCATGGCCTGTCCTCATTGATAGTATTATGCAAAATTTAATATTTAACTTAGAAAGTCTTAATAAAATATAATTTGTATCTCGAGCTCTACAAATATTTAATAAAAGTTTTATTATAGTTATATTTCAGTTTTCATATTCAACTGTCATTTTCATTCTCCTGTTTTCATCACAATTTCAATTAGTCAATTATACCGTACAACTTTCAACCACACTTAATTTCCGTCATTATAGTGTTGTTTTTTTAGAAAAAAAATCTATCTTTGCTATTCTCATGGAAAGTGAGCTACAAATTTCTAAAACATTCTTCAAAATGGTGCTACATCGTGTTAATTGGGCAAAAAACAAGTTTAGTCTTGAAATGTTTCTAGAGTGTCACTCATGTGTATTGCTATAGCACTTTCTATCACTATTTTAACTTACTATAAGCACTTTCTATTAACATTAAATAAGTGTATTTGCTAATGACAACAATTGTTCTGCTATTGTGAATTGTCGGCATAACCTACTTTTACGATGCTGTAAAGTTGGCAGCTTTTAAAAACCTGCTATTGGAAAAAATTATCACATATTTCGACACTTTGTTAAAAGTGTTTACAGATTTTTGTTTATTAATACAGTATAAACTCTTTAGTATGACCAACATTAAGGCGATCCTACCATTCTAATGAAGGATGCATTTAGTCCCATTTGTTATTGCAATCGTAATGTTAATGCAGAATTACGAATGTCAATTAGAAAGTCAGCTCTGAATTATTCATTCTATTATAGTAATCTAGAAACAAAATTTTCAAACAAATTATTTTACTCATTATTCCCTTAGATATTATCTCATGATGAATATAAAATTCCTTGAATACCCATTGAAGGAAGGATGAATGAAATTCTCATCCTAACCACTGTAACAATGGTGGTCATTCATAATCTTTATACAATAGATTATAAATATTGTATTCACAGTTTTTAAATGTCTTTATAAAAATGGCAGCTTCAAAGCAGTATAAAATTTTTAATACACTTCTTAAGTACTAAGTTATTTTCATAGTATATTTCCTAAAGAGTTCTTTTGTGTATATAATGTACAGAAAAATTTTGCTGATACCACTGTTTTGGTAAGTTACTAAATTCTTATTAACGTAGAGCATTGCTTTGTTAAAATGATAATTTTTTTTTGTATGTTACTAAATTCTTATTAAAATAGAGCTTTGCTTTGTTGAAATTAGTCATGTACATAGCTGCCAACTCTACTGGATTTTCCAGTAGACTACTGGATTTTGCCAGTTTCTCCTGGTTTACTGGNTAAAAAAATCATTTGATTTAAATCAAGCTGATTTAAATCAACAAACCCTGCTTAAGTACTAAGTTATTTTCATAGTATATTTCCTAAAGAGTTCTTTTGTGTATATAATGTAGAGAAAAATTTTGTTGATTCCACTGTTTTGGTAAGTTACTAAATTCTTTTTAACATAGAGCATTGCTTTGTTAAAATGATAAAAAAAAAAATTTGTATGTTACTAAATTCTTATTAAAATAGAGCTTTGCTTTGTTCTAATTAGTCATGTATTTATTTATTTTGCTTATGAGTTTATATTTATTGTATTTTTGTTCACTGATGATAAAATGACTTCTCATCATTTTTTTTAATATAATATAGAGAAAAAATTTTGTTGATACCAATTTTTTTATAAGCTAATGAATTCTTATTAAAGTGGAACTTCGCTTTGTTAGAATTGGTCGTTTTTTATTTATTTATTTATTTTTGCTTATGAGTTTATAGTTATGATATTTTTATTCACCGATGATAAAATGACCTCTCGTTATAACATCCGTTTTCACATGGACTTTGAGGATCGTTATATCGAGCATCGACTTTTGTACTTAATATGTGTAAAAATATTTATGAGCTTGTATAAAAAAAGTTTAATTTATTTTATTAAGGTCATAGTATTTTTTTTCACAACTTAAAAAATTTTCTTGATCACTGCTTTTTTTTTTGATGAGTTAAATCAATGATTTTTTTAATGTTATATTACTCGAAATCTCTTGGGAAAAAAACTAATTTTCTCTAGTTTTTTTTTATATTAATGATGATGAATTTTTGATTTTAAACTTTTTTCTTTAATTTCTGTATTAAATTTATTTAATTATATTCTGATGGGATTTAAATCATTATTTATAGTTTACCCTCCGAGGAAGTTCTTAAACGTTGGAAATATGTTATGATTTATCTACTGGGAAACATCCTGGCCTGTGTTGCAACTGCAGTCATACTTAATGTAGAAGATTCTAGAAAAGTATGTTACTATTATATTTGTTATTAATTATTCGTTTGAATGACCAGATTTTTGAATGTTAATATTTATGGAACTATATCACATATAAGTTTTCTACTAAATTAAATAAAGATTTAAGAAGCATAATTTATGTCTTTAATCTTGTTACACAAAATTAAGGAAATATAATTTTAGATTTTTTTTAATTTAGGGATGTGATTCTTCCGCGGATGCGCGGATTTCCGCTTTCTTTCAGATTTTTCCATTTTTTCTGCTAATTTCCGCTGAAATTTTTTTTTGCACAAGTTAAAATATTTTATGAGGAATTAAATTTTCCATGAAACGAAAGTATTGAAGTCCTCATTCCTCCCTCAAACATTGATTTTCGTATTTAACTGATTTAAAAGTTGAACGTTGCAATTCTTAATCAGGCGATTTAAATGTCGTACATTGCGATTCTTATTTACGAGATTTAAAAATCCAATATCGCGATTTGTAATTACGCGCTTTTAAAAACAAATCCTATGTAGCGATTCGTATTCATGCGAGCTTAAAATCCAATGTCGTGATTCATTTTTGCGGTTGTAATATCAAACATCGATTTTCCTATTTATGCGTGCTTTAAAAATTAGACAGTGGGATTCGTATTCGCGCTATTTAAAAATTACGCATCGTGATTCGTATTTACGTGATCTGAAAATTACGCATCATGATTTGTATTTTCGCATTTTTTAAATTCGATATAGAGTTTCATATTCACGTGATTTAAAAGCCTCATTTCGGGATTCATATTCTCTTAATTTAAAATCATGCATGTGATTCATATTTATATATTCATGCAATTTTAAAATTAATCATCGGGATTTATAATCACATGGTTTACAAGTTTAAAAATTGCACTTTTT